CGAAAGGGCGCCGGCTGACGACCGGGGCCGTCCCCAGGGTTCCGCCTCCCCTGCGGCGGACGGCGATCTCCGCTGCGGGCCCCTCGGTCAGAACCGCGCTGGTTCCTCCCACAAACCCCGTGGCGCTTCCTCTCCTCGCCTTCGGGCCTTGGCCTGAGCATCCGGGCCCGCCGTTGGGTTGTAACAGCATCACGGATTTGGGACGGAGTGGCTGGACAGCGGCCAGGTGGAAAAGGATCTGGGGTTGACAGCCGTTTAACATGAAACAGTGTGTGTCCAGGTGGCCAAGAAGGCCAATGGCATCCTGGTGTCTGCCAGATAAAATGTGGCCAGCCCCTGTGCACTAGTGAGGCCACATCTTGAACTGTGTGTCCACTTTTGAGCCCCTCACGGCAGGAGCGACATTGAGGGGCAGAAGCTTGTCCAAAGGAGGGCAGCAGAGCTGCTGAGGGGTCTGGAGCACAAGTCTAATTGTCCCAAAAAGGTTTTTTTTTTTTTCACCCGGTGTTCAAGAGGCCAAACCACACACAGTCAAGGTCTTTGATGTGTTTACAGTTCTGCACGGGAAGGGACGCTGTTTGGCAATTCCACAAAGCCAGCATGACAACTACCAAAACTTTTCATTGTTTATACATTTTAGCAAACAAAGACATTAAGGTCTATTGTCTACAAGTTACATAGTTCCCTTAATAATCAGTATTCTATCTTCTGTTGATTAATGATTATCTCACTTTTCATTCTGATTAGCTCACGTACTCAGTCTTTCTCTTCTGGGTCCATGGCCGTGAGTCAGTGGTCACAGTTTACCCCCTGCCAGTTACCTTTTACCCAACTGGACCTGATTCAGCACAATTGCTGAGCTGTTTTCATTAGTTTCTTCCTTATCTTGGGGGTTCTGCCGAATGTCCTTGTGGCCTGTAAATTCTACATTCCTTTTGTCCACTATCAGTGATACATCCTTATTCCCAAGCTTTGTTAACCTCCCTTTAGGTCTGAGATCTTGAAACATGTCAAGCTCTAAACTTTTGCAAAGCAATTCTAACAACAACTAATTTGTCTAACACCTGGACGTCACTTAGAGTTTGCTTGTTAGCTGCTCTCTTTTTCACAGATTAAATCTCTTTTGGATTAATCTTGAAAGTATACGAAGATCTAACATCAAAGAACATACTTTCTTAAGGAAATCTTTACATATTCCACATTTTGCAACATAATAATGAGTGGCTGAAGGAGCTGGTGGTGTGTAGCCTGGAAAAAAGGAGGCTTAGGTGAGATCCTACTGCTTTCTACAGTTGCCTGAAAGGCAGCTTTAGCAAGGTGAGGGTTGGCCTCTTCTCCCAAATGACAAATGGAAACAGCTTCAGGTTACATGGTTGGAGGTTTAGATGGGGCATTAAAGAAAAATTCTTCACTGAAAGAGTGGTCAATAATTGGAACAGGTTCCCCAGGGAAGTGGTGGAATCACTATCCCTGGAGTGTTCCAAAGACATGTAGATGTGGCACTTAGGGACATGGGGGACTGAGGACTTGCAGAGTTAGGTTGATGGCTGGACTCAATGACCATAAAGATTTTTCCCAGCCTTCTATGATTAGAAATGTCAGTGCAGAGAAATAAAACTACACTACTGCTGGCAACTCAACTAACTAAAAAACACATATCCTGGACAGGACGAATGAAGTATATGGATTTCTGCCTTTTTGCCTTCCTTGAGAAGAAATTTATTTTTCCACTTTATCAGGAAAAAAAAATTCCAGGTTTATTTTTTTTTGGTGTGTGTTTTTCAGGGTTTTTTTTGTATGAATAAATATATTCTGTCATATTCCAATTATCTGTAATATAGACTAGCAGTAAAGAGCTGTGTGCTGCTTCTTCAGAGTATGGTTTCGATATTCACTGTGTCCCAATCACTTCAAGATGGCTTGACCTAGGAATGATACACCCAGCTTGCAACCCTGAGATATTGCTCTGCAGCCAGGGGCCATTGGAGCACAGCAGCACTGTGATAGTGTCTCTTGTTGATGAATGCGCTTTCATACCACAGGCCACAAAGAGGGAAGGCAGATAATGCACTCTCCCACAGAGGATTTCTCTGCAAGAAATTAATTTTTAATTACTTAGTCAAAGTGATAAAGAATGTTTGCCAGTGATTTAGTCTGCTTTTATAGCTCTTCTCTATGATGTAAGGTATTATTTCTGTCAGGAGAAAATTAATTTACATAAATAATTCTGAAAGTATTTGCTGTTTCAGGGATTTGATTTCATGTGGTCAAGCAGATAGCACAATTAGGCAAAATTCTTTTATTTTTTTAAAGAAAAAGTAACTGAAAATTTAATTTTACTACATTGGTTTCTTCTGGGTTTTTTGCAGAGATTCTTTCATGGATCCTGTTGTTGTAAGGATCAATATAAACACAGCTAAAATACTGATGCAAATGAAAGAAAGCTCTCGGATGCTCCACTGGTTTCTTTCATTTCCTACTGGCTCCTAAATTTGTATGTGGTGGATCCAAAGCTAGGGAATGCACAAGAGCTAACAGATGCACAGTGCCAGTGGGCTGTGCTGTGGCACAAGGACAGTGTCAACTGTGATAAAAAGTAACAGCAGCATCAAACTGACCAAAATATTTTTAGCATGTCTGGTGTAGAAATTTTTACTAAGATGCAATACATAATAGGTGGAGATGTTATAGTTTTTCCTCATAAGAAACAATAAGATGACAATTCATAAATTAAAGGCAAGTCAAGAAGTTTGTCTACTCTAGAATAATACTGGACAACTGCTGCAGTTCTTACCTTCATTATTCTATTAGCCAGTGCCATTATCCTTAGTCTGTGAGCTGAAAAATGATTAATGCTCATGGTTATTTCCACACATAATTGCTGGGAGAACGGGAATTTACTTACACTAATGGCAGCAAAATGGAAATCATGCACCCATGACTAAACAACGAGATAATTATCAGAGGGTGCAATGAATGTTTAAATAAAAAATCAGAGACTGGAAAGTGAGGTCTAAGAAAAGGAGAGGAAGGAGGGGAAGAAAATAAAAAAAAAAAAAAAAAAGGAGAGAAAGCAAAAGCAAAAAGTGGAAAAAAACTCATCATCATATAAACTAAAGCAAGAGGTTAGGACATGACCTTTGCATCAGCAACAATCATGTGCTCCAATTTCCACAATATCTTGGTAAGATCATGTTCTTTCAGTAATGATGCTTCACCATGTTCTGCGTCTTGTACCTTTGAAAATGCACCTGACAACATCTGACATCTCAAGATAAATGGTACACAGAAGTGAGAGCAATGAAATGCTCCCCTGCTACAGCTACAAAGGCAATCCTTTGAGATGAGAAAATGGAAAATGATCCCTTTAAAAGCAAGGAACTTGAACAATACTTGCTTCTTTTTTTTATGGTGTCAGCAACTTCTGAGTCTTAATCTACCCTGGATAGACCACCCATGATGAGAGAAGCTGAAACACGTAAGTTGATGGATCATGTGCACCTTTAATGCTTTTGTTCAGTCTCTATTACCCAGCTCAGGAAGGCAAACAACAGCCATGTCAGTTAAAGACCTCCAAATGGTGACACGAAAATTGATGATTTTTATCTTTATTTGGGAGGGGAAAACTTTAGTTTTCACTCATGTTTATGTCTGTGATTTTTATGGGTCTATGGGAAATGCACCTTCAGAACTTTTCTGATATTTCCAGTATGCACCTGTCATCAAGATTCAGTCAAGTTAAGAAAAAAAGCTGTCCTTGTATTCAACCTTAGCATTACATTTAGGTAAGTTTTTAGAAGTTTATGTATGTAGAACTGAAGGAAGACAATCCACTCACTGGTCCATTATGAGTCAGTGTCAGAACATTGCATGAAAATGCAATGTATGGTTAGCTGCGTCTGTACAAACTTATCCAAGCCAGAAAGCCACATCACTGCAGGTGCTATGTCCCAAAGAAAGCAGTTGTACTGGTTCAGGACGTGTGCTGATATAGTTGCAGAGTGTTCCACTGCCACCTGGATTTACAGGATCAAGTATGCACTAGCTAGAAAATCTCCTAACTCCGTCCCAGCATATAGTATAAACATGTGTAATGTTTAATAGAAAGAGTTTAAGGAAACTGAAGTATTTGTCCAGGACATAAATTATTACACACTCAAGCCGTTTACCTTTGTAAAGATAAACAGAACAGGTGTTTGCCCATTAAGGATAGCTTACATTTTCTCTTGTCAGAGGTATATCCTGCTGAGCATGTAACAGAGGCAAACTACTGAAAAGGTAAATGTATTCTGTCACTCTGGAAACAAAGTCCTTTAGAGAAAGAAAAGAGTAGTTAAGAGGAAAGACTTCCTACTATTTATTTTTGTAGTATACAAGTTAGGTGGATAAATAATATTCACATCAAAATGTGTATGTGTTGGGAAAGGGTTAACAGGAAGAAGACTCTTAATTGAGCTAGATGTTTATGACACATCACATATTTAGCTTTGTCTTCTGGTATGTGGAAACATAATAGATCAGTAGGAAGATGGGGCCACCACCCAAGCTGTTGGTAATGTGATGCAATTCCACTTTTCTTGTCCTTGTCTGTAGTGCTCCTCTTACTAGGTTGGTAACTTCTGATGAGAACAGTCAGTGCTTTGCAGAGTAATTTCATTCTAATCTGTGCCAGCAACTAAATTATGGCAGCAATCTGAACTCTCAGTAACCCATGGGAATGGCTGTATTATCACGCTGTACTATCAGGATCATGCATCACATGACCCACATGTTTTTATGTTGGTTTGCAGGCTTTATCAGTTGCTACTTCCAAAGAATAGTGTTTTCAAAATCTTTCTTTATGTTCTTTTGTAGTAAGTGAGAAAGGAAAAAAGATCACTTCTGACAAGTCAATATAGCTGCTATGCAGCTGCTATACATCTAGTACACATGCTGTACATGTATACTAGGTCTATGTATACAGCTGCTGTATATGTATACAGCTAAATTTATAATTATTGACATTACTGCCTTCTAAGTCTAGAGAGTAGAAGTGTTGTAAAAATAATTTAAAAGATGGGAAAACATTATTTCATTTTCCTGTTCTCCTCTCTAATATTGAAAGTTAAAGAAGATATTTTTCTACTCTTCAGTTGAAACTAATAAGTTACTGACGTTAAATAAACACAGTTATTACATTGCTGTATTTTTTTCTATTCTGTCTGTAACCGCATTTGTGATTCCAACCTCTAACAAAATTGAGAAAAGGGAAACTGAAGCATTTCTGGTTTATTTTTCTTCAATCTAACTTTTGACATCTTTTTAAAGACATGGTAAAAGCTGTTTAAGCCCCAGACAACCAATATAATTTGGAAGCAGACTTAGTAATAGTGGGTAGAAATTGAAAACAACATGGATGTTTTTCAGCATTTATCCTGTTGGCTAAATATGATCAACTATACAACATATAATGTCTCATGCATATTTATTATTAAAAATTCTGTATTTTATGGAAGCAATGTTAAGAGCCTTGCTTATGCAAAAACACAGAGATGATAGATTTCAGGCCACTGAAATCAAGGAAAATTTTTTCAGAATTAGTGAGAATTAAGAACATAAATGTATTTATTTTTATTTTTATTTTTATTATAATATTTTCAGATTTTTTTTGTCTCTCCCTTTTTCACATTTCTCAGTTCTGCAATACTGGAGACTTGCAGCATCTCTTTTATTTTAATGGAACTTCATATTCTTGTGTACTGTCAAAGTTCCTGGCTCTGGAGAAAATAAAAAAAGTAATGTACAACTGTGAAAAACGTAAGCTGATTGCAACAATTGTAATTAAATGACACCGAGAAATAATCGTACCAAATATTCAGGGAAAAATTACATTTTAAAGGACACTGTCAAAATATGTTATTCTGCAAAACAAGATGATTGTATCACAATGCATGTTTCTTTACAAACCAGTGGCTTGAAAAATGCTACCTTGGTTGTCTTTGGTATCAAAGAAATTGAAAACAAGCTGACAATATGTTTGTGTTATTTTCAGGCTTATTAAGACTATTGTTACCAACTACCACAAGTAGCAGTTTGACTGACTACCGGCACTTGATACCTTCACCTAATTCTTTGGCTCTTCTGAGATTGCAATTTTCATTCCACATATTCTCTCTATATTCTCTCTATGAGTGGTCAAATAGAAATAATGTTTGGTAACTAAGGAAAAAATAAATTAGGCTGCATGCCAGTAATAAGATCCTAAAATGTAATGTGGTAAAGATGTTGGAGATAGTGCATCATTCAGTTGCAATACATTATGAGCTGATAGGCAAAGGGACTCTGTGGTGCCCAGGCTAGCCTATCATTCACATTTTCAGGACTTTCAGACTCTGCACAACAAAAGAGAAGCCACTGAAATGAGGAAAACCCTGTCACATGCAGCGTTAAAAAAATGAGTGGAAAATGTTCTATAGACCATAACCTTTCATAGGCTGAGAGAGGAACAAGTTTTTGGAATTTTTTTTCTTTTCTTTTTCTCTGGCTGTCTTTGAGTTTTCCAGAAAACTGAGATAACTTCTCAGAGTAGTTTTAAATCAGGAAGTCAGTGCTGATTATCAGTTGCAAATACACACTATAGTATCTTGTTGTTTATTATCCAGTAAATCCTAGGGCAGAACAAATACAGTGCTTTAAAGTGCTGAAGAACCAGGCACTAAATGTCACTTTCCACTAAAACCAGTGATACAGTTCTCTGGTGAATTAATTTGAGATGGTATTTCTAATCTAACACTGAATATAAGAATACCTACAGAGAGCTATTATGGTGTTTTGTGGTTATGCAATATATGGGCAGGTAATGGTGGTGGTGAGAAACTGAATTTTTTCTTCAGACAAATAAATACAGGGCCTGTCTGTCAGAATCTGAATCATCCCTGTGCTGCTGAATAATCTCCATGAGCTGTTAATCTTACTCAGATTACAAAAATGTGGGTCTCAAGCTGATGTTCACCTAAGAACTGACTTCTTGGATAGACCCTTGCACGTAGTGCAGGTATGTAATGCTGAGATCTTTTTTACCTTTCTGCCAAGATTATAGCAGTAGCTGATACCTAGAATCTACAGCTTAAAAGAATGCACTGGAGATGTCAGATGCCATTTTTTAGCACCTTATTCCTTAGACATTGTTTAAATCTCAGCACTTTTAGGAGGGAATAAATAGTTCTAGAAGATGTGCTTTAAAGATGTTTTGTGGGTTGTCAAGAGAGGCTACCTTAGGCAGGATATTGCTTGTGTTTGAATTTCTTACTCTGTTTCTCCACTCATGAGAGACACTCTTTCAGTAGAAGGCAGGGTTATTTGCATTTGCCTTCAGGATGCTTCCATTACCAGTTCTGTTGTAAACCAGTATTTCTAGTTAAAGCTGCAGTCACCTACAGGAGTCAAAAAGCTTTCTTTTTCCCTCCAACACATAATCTGACTTCTGAGTTTTTGAACTCGATCCTTCACAGACTAATCTTGCTGTCTGGTTTGTATTACTGTTAACCCCTTGGATTTTGTAAAGTGCTAGACTGGACATTTTTAGTGGCTTAGCTGTGTTCTGCAGCCAGAACACTATGAATGGATTGGGATTTGTATGTCATCTCTTCTATTCCTCAGGGCTAACAATGCCTTAAGCAGAGGCAGCAACAAGGACAAACTTAAAGAAGCTTTTGCTTTTGCTTGTGGCAAGCCTATCAAATACATCTGACTCATTTATTTACTTTTTCTTCACTCCACCCTCATGAACATCTATAGAATCAGTAACTGTCATATTTACAGTGCAATGACACAGCTTTTCTTTCTCTCTCTTATGCCAGATGTTACTGATCAGTCTGCCAGGAAACTGTTTGATGTTGAAGGCCCCAAGGTACAAGGGAAAGTGTGGTGTTTGGCAGGTGTCATGGATAGCTTGTTTCATCCTAGCTGCTGCCTCCTGCCACACTCCTTGCTGCTCCACGTCACCAGATTCTTCTATCATGGGAATTCATTGAGAGACTACACACACACACCAGGCAATTAAAAAATTGAGAAGTCAGCAATTAATTTACATCATATTCTGGCTGGGGCTGTGGCATTGTGATGGGGTAGGACTAGGGAGAGAGTAAAAAGAAATTCTGTGATAAGGCTATCGTTGATTTTACTTTTTGTTTTTAAAGGACAGTTTTAAGCTGCTAAGAAAACCAAATGAATACATTGATAGATACAAAGCCAGGGAGACCTCAGTGTCATTACATACTGCCTGTGTGATCAGCTGTGTAAAATACTCAGTTCTAGTTGCATTATCCATACTGACTCTTTCTCCCAGATAGGCTAAGAAGAATATAAAAATGCAAATCCTGCTCTGCTGAAGTTAATGATAAATCTCTTATTGACTTATATGGGATAAGTTTCAAGGACATTGGAAATACCTATAAAATGAGCCAATGATGAGCAGATGATCTCCACATGAAAAGCTGTGTTCCATTCTCAATCTGTGGCTCTAGCCAACCATAGTCCACATGTTTACATGACAGACTGCTAATTTGTATTATTAATTACAAATGCTAGATTAAATATGCAGAGATGTTTATGGGCTACTTTTAAATGCTGGGTCATGCTCTTCTCTGGGTATTAGAAAGATTCAAGCAATAGTAATTAATTATTAAAATAGAATTATATAAAAAGGTCTGTGCAAATATATCTGAGGTGTATTCCATACCTTCTATATGTAGGCTTTGAAAGAAGCCGTGAAATTGTAGTCTTGTTTTATACTACAAGCCCTGTAACTTACATAGTTTCTGATTATTTTCATTATTTGTCTTAAAATTATTTCAGGAAGGTAATAAAAGTGAACTTTTATTTATTATCTGACAGCCTCTGACAGTGTAGGTTTCAGTAGAAAAACAGAAGCTGTTGTATGTATGCATAAACACCCCATATTCAGCAAAAGCACACTTTATACATAATTTAAATTTGTTTTCTTTGTGCCCAGAGTGCCTAGAGTTTTCCACAGGGCTTGTGGCTTGTGGGGTGTTTTTTGTTTGTTTGTTTGTTGTTTGTTGATGTTTTGTGGGGTACTTTTAGTGATGCCATTTAAAATTTAGCTTTGGTCCTGCAGGTCTGAGAGACCTTCAGCTCTGCTAATCCTTACCTGATGCAAGAGTTTCATCACATAAAATTTGATTATCTAGGGCCCCTATTTGAGGAGGTGGGAATGGGTGATGGGAGCTGTGCTGGCTGGGAGCAGACGTGAGCAGATGTGTCTGGGGCAGACCTAGGGTGCTTTGGTGCACACTGCTGGGCGAGAATGAGTGGACAAGCCTTTTACTGGGTCTGTAAGAGGAAAGAAAGGCTTTGGTGTGAAGCACTCTAAGTGGGACATTTTTGTCAGCACAAAAGGTACTTCGCTGTTATAAGCTAAAGGAATGAAACTGGTAACTTATCACTGAAAAAAATACACCCTCAATTTATGAGCTCAGTCAGCAGAGATGGTGTGGCAGTGTAATCAAGAGATGTAGGGCAATGCAAACATGAAGGAAGTAACCATCTGTTTTCCTCTAGGCTTTAACAGACCTTATATTTTATTTCCATTTTGAAGAGTTGTATTTATGGTTCATATGTCTCCTCCCCTTTCTCCTCTCGGCTTATGCCTGTGATCAAGAGTTAGTGCACTTATCAGGCAAGGTTTCTGGTAATGTTTTGGTTTATAGCCTCAACCTTTCCATGAGCAAACATTCTCAGCAACCTTTAGCCTCTCTTTTCCTGAGTTTTGCTGCTGCTAGTTTTTCACCTTGAAGTGCCACCTAGTACACTGGAGGCACGGGCAGAGGTGAAGGAAGGCAGGGAAGGGGATAGGGAAGTGCAGGAAGAGAAGGATTGCACAGCCTGTTTTTGAATCTACAGAGTGGAAATCTTTCTATCCAGGAACAAAATCAATGTAGAGTATCTGAAAGAAAGAGAGTTAGAAGACAAAAGAAATGGGAGAGCACACACAGTGGGTCTGAACTGAGCAATGATGAAGCAACTGGTATTGGTGCTGGCCATTTGGCCTTTGTTTTCCTCACTGCAGCTGCTGAAGCAAGTGGGTTCAAATCGGTGTAGCAACAACAGTTATGCGATAAATGTGATGCTCATGAACTACTCAGATTTCCCATCAAGTACTAATAGTTTGAAGTCAGCTGTGAAGCAAGCCTTGGAAAGGGTACGAAAGGAATTCCAGATGACAGGTAAGCCAATGGGTGTTGGTTACCCCTCTCTTCATGTGATTTCTTGTCACACTTTGTGTCACAGTTTTATACTTACCTGACCTTTAGCAAGGTGTTTCTCAGACAGGCTCCTTTCTTGCCCATCTTCTGGAAAGAAGTAGATCTTTTGGAAATAGTTACCTCTTTGTATAAATAGAAGTAGGCATAACTATATATGTTTCCATGGTGTTTGAGCAGACTCTACCTGCATGTATCTCTGCATGTTCAGCTGGGTTTGGTAACATGGAAGTTACTGAACTAGATCAGACAGGACCAGTGATCCATCTAGTGCAGTAACTGGGTTGCCCTTGCTTTCTCTCCTGACTGGTTTAGCCTCTACTTTCTGAAAATAATTTTCCTCTTGACCCTATCTGTTGACCACGTCATGACTAAAGAATCTGCAGCCCATATTTTCCTTCATTTTGAATCACATTGCTTTTATTTATTTTGATATCTTACCTCTTCTTTCAACATCATCCATCTATTGTCACTCTATAATATCATGGGGAAAAGAGATTCCAAGGAAATAATTAAATAAATATTATCTATTCCCTATCTGCCCTCTAGTTTAAGGGTTTTGTCCAATTTTATTGGAAAGTGGTCTCTCAGTTTCTTCTTACAGGGCCTTAAAAAATTTATCTAGTCATGGCCAACACTAGATGTACTTTTTACTGGAAGCACTAGCACTCAACAGAAGTCAGCAGTCCACATTGGAGTGGGCTTCACAATCACATCCATGGTCGTGGGGGTTAGGTTGTAGGTAGACTTTGTGGAAGCAGGGAGACCTCACAGAGTAAGACTGCTCAGACCTGTGTCAGAAGGAGAGGGATAATAGTATATTAGTAGTTACCTGCAATTCATGATGCTGTTTGTTTTTACATTTGTGTTACAGGAGAAAATGTTACAGTGGATGCCACCTTCCACCCCTTTAATTCATCACTCTATGTCTCACAAGGCTGCCGTACTAGCACCTGTGAAGGTGTGGAGCTCATCAAAACCATTTATGTGAGTAGCAGACTTCTTTCCTTCTGCCTGGGTGTGCATGTGTGTCTCTGTCTTTCCTTGTTAACCTTTAATCCTGCTATTCTGTTTCAAAGAAATTTGACAGGGAAGTGAAGTTTTCAAAGAGAAGATGTTCCTGTATGTTTTGTGAAAAGAAGTAGGCAAATACTGGAGAAAGATTCTATGAACGCTTCCCAAAGACTGCCTTCAGCTTCTGGTTCCTTTTCCTATGCTTAAGAAGTTGTCCTCCTTTTTATATCTGCACAACTCTTCGTGTGGTCAGAGAGCCGAAACAATCCATTAAAAAAACCCCAAATAGCAATTAACTAAAAAAACCAAACCAACAACTCAAATACTCAAAACAGCCCAAGTAGAGCAAAAAGATCCATTTCCAACTGGATCAGATCCTGATCTGGTTCACCATCAGTTTACACAATACACAGAAGAGAGAGCTGTGGTGAGGATGGGGACATGTGGGCAGAGAAATCTGGCACTGTTACAAATGAAATGCTTATGGAACTATGCCCAAAGGGCAAAGATGAAATTCTTGCTTCTCACTAGAAATCACCGAAGTCATGTGAGAGAAACTAAATGAGTACTTTAATATGAGGAAAAGCTTCAGTTAAAATCTGTGCATTACAAGAAGCCATGCTTCTGAAGATTTTCACATCTCTGAGTTAAACTTGGTCAATCCAATGAGAATTTTCAATTCTACTGATCTATGACCATGCTCTAGTCTTTGCGAAGAAATTATCCCTCATGACACACAAAGATACAGGTCAGGCCTCATTTGATAGTCATGGAAGGATTTTTAAAAATACTAGTTTCATATGCACTTAACTAATAACTTTTCTGATACACAGGACCTTGTAATACCAACCACCCTGTCTTCTGCAAATGCAAACTCTTCTGGGGTGTGTAACTTCAAATGTGCAACTATAACAGTATTTTAATCCTTACTTGCTGTCTGTGTCTTAACAAATGTCATAATTTATCTTTTTTTTTGGCTTTCTGTGATTTTTTCCTCCTCCCCTTTATGTTTGCTCTTTTAAAGTTTCTGTAGCTCCTTTCCTACTCTTCTCTTGCTTTTGCTAAGTAAATTCTGTGACTCCCCATATGCTACAATTTTCTTCATTCTCCCATCCACCTCTCTCTGCCAGTCTTCTGCTTTATCCCAAATGACCCTTTTTGATCCCTTGCAGGATTCTGGCACACTTGGCTGTGCCGTCATAGGACCCGCTTGCACTTATGCCACCTACCAAATGGTCTCGTAAGTACCAATTCTTCCCCCTTGTATTGTGGTGTTAATGATGTCAACTGCTGAATGAAGTTGTTTTGTGAACAACAAACCTGCAGACACATTAGTGTTTAGAGTACATCAGATACCCCGAGGTCTACAGTCAAGGCAGTAGGACTTTTATGCATAGCCACTCTGTTTGGTAGGTGGAAGAAAATCACCTTCCAAAGCCCATGGATACAATCCCAGTTTTGATAGGGAAACTTCTAATTCCTGACAGTAAGTTGAATGATTGATTGAGGAGTAGCTGGAGAGCAGCCCTGCAGAAAGGGATCTGGGGGTGCTGGTTGGCAGCAGTCTTGACATGAGTCAGGAGTGTGCCCAGGCAGCACAGAGGGCAAACCCTTCCCTGGGGTGCATCATAACAGCATCACCAGCTATCAGGAAAGGTGATTATCCAGCTGTACTCAGTGGTGTTGTGGCCTCACCTTGAGCACTGTGTGTAGTTCTGAGCCCCACAGTTTCAGAAAGATGTGAAGGTCCTAGAATGCTTACAAAACTGGTGAAAGAGCTGGAAGGAGTGAGTGGGAAGTCCTGTAAGGAGCTGAGGGCATTGGTTTGTCTTATTTGGAGAAAAGGAGGCTGAAGGGAAAACTTGTTGCTTTCTACAGCTTCCTGAGAAGGGCAAATGTAGAGGGAGGTGCTGATATTTTCTTCCTGGGATTCAGCAACAGGACAAGTGGGAATGATTCAAAGCTGTCTATATATGTTGGACATTAGGAAGCATGCTTTTAATGAGAGCATGGCCAAACACTGGAGCAGGCTACCTAGAGGGATTAATCGTACCTTAAGCTTGTTCATGTTGAAGAGGCATTTGGACAATGCAGTTAGTAAGTGGTCTAGTGGAAGGTGTCCCTGTCCATGGCAGGGGGTTTGGAACTAATGATCTTTAAGGACTCTTCCAACCCAAACCAGTCTGTGTTTCTATGAATAACATGCTTTAGCTTATGGTCAGTCCTGAAGTAGTCTAGACTGTATGATTTTTGTAGGTCCCTTTTAACTGAAATAATCTATTATCTTCTATGCTAAGTCTGTCAGAAAAAAACCCCAAACAAACCTGTTTAATTAGTGAAATACTCTCCCTGTCATTTATTACATCATCTATGTCTGTTTCTGTTGCAATAAGTAAAAACCCTGTAACTGGGTAAGTGGACTTTACCCGGAAAATAAAATTTTGTGACAATAATGCCAACAACTCTTATGGCCATGGTTTTTGCAGGCAAAATTCCCTGTTATAAAAAAGCATCAAACAAGAACAAAAATATTTTGCATTTAGTCAGATAACATTGCAGCATCAAGGAATATATTTTTGTCCTTAGAAGCTTACTGTCCCTGTGTTTAAAATGATCTTTGTTTTACAAATTCCTTGTCGGCAGAGGGTTGCCTTAATTTTTTTCTCCCTGACTGCTGCTGTTGTACAGCTCCTAAAATACACCTTTGTGAAATGAAGATTTTTCCTTTGAATTGTAGGAGTGAAGCTTTTTTCATGGCAAAAAGCTGTCACCCTGCAGCACTGTCCCAATAGGAGAATAAATCCATCCCATGGTAATGGCAGGCAGGGAGCCTGTCGTGAGTCTTTGGACGTTTTTCAGCCACAACCCTTGGGGCTGAAATGGTGTGTGGTACCCAAAAGGTCAGGGGTAACTGGAGACAGTGCGAGAAGTTGTCTAGAGCAGTTCCACAGGCCTTTTCGGTACCAATACAGACTTGAAATCTCCTTGTGTTCTTGAGGAGCCTTCTGGTTCAGGTTCAAATTGTGTTAAACTAACTCAGGGCACAAGAAACGAGGGAGGTGAGGATGGAAATCAGGTAGCTGCCTTGGTGCAACAGCAATCTGTTCAGACTTGTCCTCTTATCTCTTCCTTCAGACTTGAAACAATACTGAGCCTGCCTCTGATCTCTGTAGGGAGCTTTGGACTGTCCTGTGACTACAAAGTAAACCTAACGCGCCTTCTGACCCCAGCCAGGAAACTGAACCAATTCTTCTATTATTTTTGGAGACATTCTGGTCTGCCATTCAAAACCACGACCTGGGAATCTGTCTACATTTACAAGAGAATTGATACCTCAGAGCCATGCCTCTGGTAAGATCTGGATCCACCTCTGACCCAGCTGTTGATATATGCTCTCTCCACCCTCAGACATGGTTTCTGCAAAATGTTATTTCAGTCCTACACTTTGGGAGGTGTCTTACTGCTACCAAGAAATGAGAGAAAGAAAAGATGAATTGTAGTTTTTAGCTGTAGCACTTACTTGAATGTTTCTCTCAGTCTATTTTAAATATTTGCAAGCCTTTGCTTTTCCTTTGGACAACATAGCCCACATGTTGTTTGTGATGAAAATACTTGTTTACAGCCTCCTTAATAAAACTTCATATTAATATATAAGTTCTTCCATAGGTGCCTTTTTAGGTTAGGGATCTTACTAAGCTCTTAAAGTGCTTTTCTACATTAATGGCTTCAATTTGTAGGCACTATTTCCAAAATTCAAACTGTATCTTTCTTCAAACAAATTTACCCCAGTGATTGCAGAGTTTAAGCTATACTCTCACCAGTTTGGAGCAAAGGAGATAGGATTCATTTTGTGACCTGAAACATCAGGCTGTGCTTGATTCTCAGAAATGCTGGGTTTTCTACTTGTCTTGGCTGCTTTTAGACAATAGACTCTTTAATATACCAGTATTCATAATAACTTTTCTGTTATTAAGTCTTATTTAACTTTCAGCTCATGTGAGTGTTTCTATGCTCCTTTGATTTTTTTTCCCATTTTGGGATATAGAAAGCCAATTAATTAAAAAAAAATCTCATTTCTCTTACTAATTTAATAAATGTAGCTGAAAGGTAACAACTATATAACTACTATATATATTTCTAATTCATAACCTGAGGGACTTGCAGAATTCTAAGCAAAATATACTGTGTTTGCTTCAGATTGATAGAAGCATATATTTATTTATATATATTTATTTTGGATACAGAATGAAAAGGTTAATAGTTTTTTTTTCCTGAATTGAGAGAATTGAGAAACCTAAAACCTGGTCTCCATTTAATTCTTTTGTAGGTATTTATGGACTTATATTTTTTCTTCTTTCTTTCTTAGTATAGATAGTAACTTGATCACATGATGTAATTGCTATGATTACCTCTCTTTGATGTTTCAAAATATCAGTGTACTTCACTCATCTCTTACTACAATCTCTACATCTCCATGTTTGCAGCTGAAATTGCTAATTCACTACACACTTTTTAGCTAAATCCCTTTAATTCTTCAGGTTTCATACCTTTCAGTGAAATAATTGCATGAAAATTATTTCTGAACTTTTCAAGTGTTTCTTATTTTACTTTTTTTAATGCCTCTGACCAGGACCTTCTTTATGACTTCAGAATTATTCAAGCCCCTTTATTGTTGAATTAACAACAAAAAAATGAATTTTGTATCTCTGCCCACTTTTTATCCTAATTTAATTGTAACAATGCATCTCATCCTGTCTTAATAGAAACTGTCAATGTGAAGGTTTTTGAAGTGTAATTTTAAAAGATTGATTTTCTCACAAGTATTACTTCATGAGCTAATTGTTTTTCCCATATATATAAAAATAAGTGGATGCCCACAGTGATAGCAAAATCAGGTTATGTTTCAACTATGCATATGTTTCTGTAAATAAATGGTTAATAATTCTGTTCCTAAAGGAAAAAAAAAAGAAATAAGGAAGCAAAAGGTATTTAGTAGCTCATAGGACTGAGATCTCAGTGCTGGTAGATTATGTAGTTTGAAAACAAAGAGAGCTCTTTTGGTTATTCCTCTGCATTAACTTTATTTCAGATAGAATATCTCTTCTCAGAAATTACATATTGAAGCAAGAGTAGAAGAAGGAGCTCACTGTTTTTCCTCAATCTTTTAGCAAATTTTACTTGCATGATTTATTTGCTGAGCTCATTTTTCCCTTCAAGCTTTAACTGATTCTGTATGCATTTTTTGTTGCTTCTTTTCTTTCTTTACTTCTCTCACACTCAGGGTACATGTGTAGTTTTTATCTCAGTTCTTTCTGTAGTTCCTGTTTAGTTCTTTGAACCTTCACATGCGCCTTCTTACTTTACTGCTGATGTCTTAAATAGCAGAGCTTAATGGCTCTGCCTCCCTGTTAGTCTCACTTCCTGCAATTTCCTCATATCCTTGATTATTTTTTTTTATTGTTAATCTCTTATTACATCATTGCATTTTCCAAATCCGTCCTTTGTACAACCATGCTCAAATACCTCTGGTTGACTTTCCAAGCATTTCTGCACCTTTCATGCCATGTATTGATTCTTTCACTTTTATTGCTGCAGAAGAGGTTTCATACCAGCTTATAAACACTCTTGTGTACTCTGAACAGCCTATCTTGCACTATGGTTGATTTAGGAAAATGTGAAGAGTTAGCAATTTCCTGACAATATTTTTGTTCCTGTATGCCAGGTACATGAATGCGTTAGATGCTGGAATCACAGAGTTCTCTGAAAAACTCAAGTTCAAGGACATTTTAAGAACTCCGGAACTGCTTAGAAAAACTGTGCAAAGTCCAAACCGGAAAAGCAATGGTAAGGAGGGGTTGAGGCTGCACTGGCCCTGCAAGTGAGTTGCTTTTCCAAGGAAGTCAAACCCACCCCTTAATTAGGTTATAGGGAAAGCCTTTCACCAGAAATGGAAAGTGAAAACAAAGATATACCATTTTACAGGGATGTAAAGATGAAATGACACAAAGTTCCTAGATTCCTCTCTTCATCCTCATAAAATATGGGGGAATATCCTGGTTCCAGAGAGCTTTTGGGGTAAATTTTCCCATCTAGGCACAAGCTCTTTCTTGTGAGATTCAGAAATCCAGGGATCACAGTTTCTCTAAGAAGGGCTTTAAATACTACAAGAATATAGATATTGCAAGCTCTCTATCATTCATGTGTTTGCAGCCCTGGTATATTTATGGACCTCATTTTGCCATAAAGGGGCACTTCTGGAAATGATTCATCTAAACTAGAAAAATGAATGAATAAATACCTCATACCAGGTGCTCCTAAGACTAAGCACCTGGCATCAGCAGGCCAAGTGAGTGTGAGAGTAAGCAAGCTAATGAAACCATTATTTGAAGGCAATTTAACCTAGAAATGTTCATATTGAGTTGATGTTATGGCACCACAACTCATAATGTTTATTTGAGTATGATAATGGTAGTGCTGTGGTGCAATCAGACAGAAGATGGTGCAGGTGTTGAAGCGCCTTTTACCACTTCCCCTCGGATATCCTAGTTTTACTGCAGAGAGGCTGGAGCTCTGTGCCTGGGCCCCAGTACAGCACAGATAATGTGCCTTAGCCCAGAGCTGCTCTACTGCTTGCTACTCAAACATGGGTGAGCAGCCAAACATCCTCTTCTTGTCTGTAAATCTCACCAATCTGTATGTATTTTTTCCCATTCTGTAGTGATCATCATGTGTGGCTCTCCAGAGGATGTCAGAACAGACCTAGGGATGGAGAAGGTGGATAATGACATCGTTATCATCCTGATAGATCTCTTCAAGTAAAGTATCACCTTTGATGGATAGAAACAGATAATGGAAATAGTCTGAGTGGAACTGTTTTGTTGAAGAAACGTTCTTTCACAAAATGTTTGATACTGCCATCTGTCCTCATGTCTTGCCATTTATTCAACATGCATAGGGTTTAATTCATGGCACGTCCTCTACAAAATCCCTTTTGGTTCATATAATATTTTTCTAAGGCACTGACAGAGCAAGTAGGTTTAATGTTGTCCTGTGAGCTCCTTGATGCAGGAAACCATGAAAGAAGCACAGAGTCCAAAGTCAGAATAGTCATGAGATATGGTTCATTTGAGATATGGTACATTTTTCATACACTCCACCCAACCAAACAATTATGTAAATAGGACTTAAAGTATAGTTTTATAGACTCCATTTATCCAGTTTTTAAATTATTTATGTGATACAACTGTTCTCCCAGTTTATAACTCTTGCACTTTATAATCACCTCTTCAACATCTTTATACCACAGAAACATAAATTCTCAGAGAAATTTCTTAGTATACAACCTAAGCTTTCTATCATTTAATTTCTTCTTAATATTGCTAATTACAAAACTTGAAGATGTCTGACATAAATTTGCCTTACTTATGGTTTCCTCAAAAGCCTTGGCTGTATACAAGGACTGAGAGCTGATGTCTGTCTCTAAACCTAAGTGACACAGCAAAGATTACATCTGTACAGCTAAGTGTAGATACCTAAACCAGGTGTTTTTTGGGTATAGCCCCAGTTGCCATAGCAAGTCACAGTCTGGTAGAAAGTTATTGCCTGTCACAGTGCTGGTGGGATGGATGGATGGATGGATGGATGGATGGATGGATGGATGGATGATTACAGGGCAAATGTGTGTGCCCATATCTTGATGTTACTCCACTGTTGGTGTAGCAAAAAGATTCTATGAACTTCTAGGGCTAGTGGGGCTTCCCAGCTCTTGTGTCTAAAGCTGACCATAACAGGTCAGTTCTGGGAAACTGTGGGTTAATGACTTCAGAGATTTAACCTTTGGTTCCAAACTGGATCCTGTTCAGGTTTTAACAGGATCTTCTCTATTCTGTATGCTTTCAGATTCACCATATCTATTTTTTCAGAAGTGCTTCTAAGAGCTTTCAGCATTCCACAATTTTATCCAGGCACTAGGAATCCCCATTTGCTTTTCCTGAGGCAACTGGCCTCAACTCCTGATTCTTTGCAAATGCACAATGGGAACTGTGTATGTGAGTGTTTTAACATTGGTGTTGTAGGTATGATTGTTGCATTACAATAGGTGAGGATGATTAGGAGATTTTTTGCTGTGATATGCATTCTTCTGATATAGCCAGCTGCCTCAGCTGCTTTATATGCTTCCCTTCTTAAACTTTCTACAGACCTTTGTTTTGCTATGTATCTCAAATCACATTATTCTTCTTGAAAAAAACCAAAATACAGACAAATTTATTAGATGAAAACTCAAGCTGTAAGAGGGAGAGTAGGCAAAGTCCCGTGCTTCTCCAGGAGTGAAGTGCCTCTGAGAAAGTGATAGATTTGAATTTTCGTCAGCTCTGAGCTGTCTGATGAGCAGGACACAAACACAGTCTTTAAGCCTCCCTAAAGAGAGGTGGGATGCTGGAGGATTATCCAGTCTGGTGGAGTTTAATGAGGTTTCCTTTTCAATTGGCTAGTTCAGTTCAAGCCTGGATGAAAAACATCTTGAAATTCTTTAGGGTGAAAAGTGCATTGTAAAAGTCAGAAGATTCAGGAAAAGGCAGGGACAGGGCTCTGGTGTCAGAATCCAATCAGATGGTGATGGAGTGGAGCTGATAGTCTCCAAAAAGTCTTAATACAGTATTGACTGTACTGTACAGTCAGTACTGACTGACAACCATGAATACTGAACTTAACCATGAATAATGAGAGAAGGCTCATACAATTATTTTCTTTCTATTAGTCTAGCCATAGCAATGACAGATGCTTCCAGTTGACACTAATATCTATTACTAAATTCTTCTTTAACATGTGAATCTGGTGGTGGCCAGTCTGCAAAGCACTTCCAGATGGCCTGTCAGGGTGATGAAACTAAAGATACCTGAAAACTACAACATCTTCTGCTTGTTTTAGCAGAGTTTTCAAGTTAACACGGTTTCCTCTGATTTTCCTATCTCACTGAATTAAACAAATGAATCAATAATCTGCTCTCCACACCTCTGTGATTGTTTTATTCCCTCCTGTTAAATGCCTTTAGTGCAACTCCTGCTGTGCTCAATTCAAGCAGGAAATATGAAAATTAAAGGAACAAGCAAAAAGAGTGCAGAAGAGCTCAGAAACAGGCACTGTAACATGATGAAACTATGATTGCTGTATAGTGAATTCCAAGGAGAAGCTGAGTTTTAATAAATATAAACTCTGCTTGAAAAAAAAAAAGAGGCAATAAACAGGACAGAAAGCAAACAGTTACAATAATAACAGTAGTTCACAACAACCTTTGATTGTCAGATTGGCAGGTCTCCTTGATATTATCTTTTAATATATTTAGGTACAAAAGCTGGCATCAGGGAATGAATGACATAAAGAATTGTGTGCATGATGAAATTTTATTTTTAGAACTACTGTTTTAACCTCTTAAATAAGAGTACTGTTGAGAATTCTGTCGTGGATACCATTGACCCTGTTGTTCAGTGTTCATGGGATACTTGTGCTTTGCTTTGCAGTAACACGTACTTCAAGAAGAACATCTCAGCTGATTACATGCACCACGTACTTGTCCTGACTCTGCCACCAACTAATTACAGCTACAATACTGTAATTAGAGACTACATAGAGATGGAGGACAACAGCCTGGTAAGAGTGCTATTTTTTATCTGATTATTGGATTCAGTTCATTCCCGTTCATGTATGAAGAAATGAAAACTAAAAATGCAACTGTAATCATCTCCTGTCATGCTTCTAAGCTGATATTTCCTTATATTATTGCAGGATGGCATTTTGCCCTGATGTAATGATGCCAAAATACAGTATCATAAGGCAAATCTGCAAGCTGTCATATTCCTGCTTTGTGAAGTTCAACTCAAACTTTTAATTTGTTCTGCACATGTCGTATTCACAGGATATGGGGGAGACTTGTAGGCACATGATTTTTTCACTCCACATCTGAATGACAGAAAATCTTATATGAAGCTGCAAGGCATCACTCAAGGAAGATCTATACATGTAATTGAGATGTGAGCATGGAAAGTTCAGAACTAATAATTATTGACTAACTTTTCTGTGCAGATATGTCTAAGAGATGAGAACCATTGTAATTTCTTTCAAGTGGCTTTCCAGATAAGCTTCAAAAACAAGAACCATTTTTTTCCATAGGAAATAAGTATTTCTTTTAATTTCCAGAAAAGGAGAACCTATGAAAATGTAGTATTTGTTTAGTGAAATTGATAGACCTGCTGTCTGCCCAGGAACCAGGTCCTTCATGTAGAGTTCCTTCCAGGATTTGTGGTTTTGAGCTTCAGCTCCCCAGCAGGCAGCTTGAAGCTTCTGGCTGTATTTACGGGGCTTCTAGATCCCCTAGCCTGGGCTTAATGCTTTTTGAGTGCCAGTTCTTTGGCAGGCTGCTGGAAATTCTGGCACAGCTCCTTGCCCCTGAGCTTTGACCTCTGGGAAGCCCAAACTTGCTGGCACCACACTGAATTACCTGCACAGAAACTCCAATCCAAAGCTGGGGTCTTTGGGACACACTGAGCAAAACAGAACTGCCAAGAACCTACAGTGTAGGATTTATTGAATCCTTTGCACCAGGATTGGCATGCCAGACCTTTACATTGGCCTCTTAAATTTTCAGCACCTTTCTGTCTTCATACATCAAAAATATATTTTGTTTATCTCTCTTTTTCAAAATGAGAACACTCACGTGGCATTGGCCATCTACTCACTCCCTGTTCAGCAGATTCTGATCTTCTATGCTGGAGTTGCTGCCAAATTAAGCCAATCAAAGTTATTATAGCTCTATGGCAGAAACATGAACTCTCAAACAGCCATTTTTTATTTTCTTTTGTTCTAGATGGAAGATGACTTTCTTGCTGGCTATTTTAATGCAGTGTTGCTGTTTGGACATGGTCTCAAGAAATTTGTTGTCTCCCAGAGCCCAGTGTCACCTTTCAGTTTAATCACTGAATTCCGAAATACCACTTTTGAAGGTAAAAAAAAGTATTGTCCTGTGCAGGGTTCACTAAATTGATGAGGGGAAAGAAATTTGATTTTAAACACTCTTAGGATAAGTCAGTTCTACACTAAACAAGTCCAAGCCTTTCAGTGAATTTTATTCTCAGACTTTTTTCTTTTTATATAATTTTTACAAGGATGTTATCTTCAGTATTTGATGTTCAGAATGACTCTGAAGTGACCTGGAAGAGCTTTAATGGAGTAGTTTTAACCTTTTCCAGTTTACAAAACTGTGTAGGCCTGGGTACCTGCAGTGTGAGTGTAGGCCAGTCGACAGTGGGTTGGCTCTTCTTACTCAACTTGTTCCTCTCACGGGTTGTCTAGCAATGGTGAGCTTTTGTTTTGTAGGCCATGGGCTTAAAGTCACAGAATTCAATCATTAGGAGAAGACAGAGACAAAACTAACATGAAGAAGTGAAAACATTATCTCTCTGGCAGTACAATCACAGTTGTTGCTTCACATCAAAGATCTGTACCAAAATGATGACTGAGAGTTTTGTGTATATGTTCCACCTATGTTCAGAAAATGCGTGTGTAGAAGTTTCCTAGAGTTTCCTAAGATAAGAAAGGTTGCAGGCTTATTTTTGCTTCAGCTGTGGTATCCAATACCTAGAAAAATAGAATTAACTAACTTCTCCTGGAGACAGCAAACCTTTCTGAATATCAGTAAACTCATCTCTTCATTTTAAGTTTGAAAGTTAAGTTTCACAAACATTTTTATTCATCCAAAATACAGCACTGTAATGCCTGCTATAATTTATAGGTTTAGTTAAAAAAAAAAAAAATCCTAAAAGTGATAGGTGTTGAATCACCTTCATTTTTTCTTGTGATGGAGTCTGGTACAGTAGGGATTTCATACAATAATTATTTTGATATTAAGAAGGTGGACCATGAAAAAGTTAGCATCAGTTTTTGAGGTGAAAAGGGAGAAGGTAATTGCTGAACTAAAATAATACTGATGAACTTAGGAGAAGTAAAACAATTCATTTCAACAGCAGCAAAAGGACAATCTGAAGCTGATTGAAAATTTGTCCTCTAACAAAAAGGGAAAAATGAAGGCGAGATTTTCAGGAGTGGTGGATATTGGCTAAGCTTGTGCTCATGTTGAGGCAACTGACTTCATGGGAGCAAAATCAAGCTGTGCTGAGGGATTTGGGAAAATCATTGCAATGTGCTACACAGGCAGTTTCTCATTGTGCCCATTTGCTGACATACAGTGAGAGGAGGCTAAAGGCAAAAAGAACATAGTTAAAACATTATTATTAGAGCTTTCAAAAGAGTAAAGGGAATGGAAATATCCTTGTATTTTCTTTATTGCTGATAGATTCAAACTGCAGGTGGAAACAGACTATTTTGCTTCTCACTTCCAAAATGGTCTCTTCAAGGGAGGTGACTGACATTCTTGGTTATGCTGAAGAAATCTGACAATATATATTTCCTGTAGCTAGAGGGAGACTTTCCTCTTCGATGCTGTCAGTTCAACACATTTTATTGCATTTTGTAAAGAAAGTGCAGTGTGATATTAAAAGAGAAGTAGCACCACACTGAGCTGATATGTATCTAGCACATACATGAAGAAGAAAAGTATCCTAAGTATCCTTTATTTATAAGAAATCCTTTTATTTGTCCCATCCTTCCTGCCCCTTATTTGTGTTTCTGAAAATGACTAATTCCATGTGTCTGCAGGTGTAATGGGTCCTGTGACTCTAGATGAATTTGGAGACATTGATACCAATCTGACCGTGCTGTACACGTCACAGACTGCAAATTATGTATGTATGTCCAGGGTGCAACTGTTCGACTTTATATATGAAAGGAAAAACAAAATGCCTTGTACTATTGCATAAGAATGATGAAAATAATTACAGCAGGAGTGGTGGAGTGCCAGGGCATGCTGTGCATGACAGAAGGGGGTCATGTGAGGTGTGCTGGAGGCTGACAGGATTGATGTAATCTGGTGATTCACTAAGTGAAGTGCAGCTGGTATTTTGTGGGATTGGTAAATTTTCAGAGAGAGGGGAGGAATGAGAAAGAATATGGAAGCCAAACATATGGCTACACTGAGAAATGCACCACTGTAGCAGGAAAGTTAATTTGAGTTTGGGCAATACATTTATTGAGGGTAATCTGAAGCAAGGGACAAAAGAGGGAGAACACAGTTGCTGACTGCATTTCTTCCCTCTTCCATACTGTAGTTCAAACCTCTTCTGTATTTCAACACTCAAAGCAATGAGACATACGAGGCGACTAACAGTCCTGATTTTATCTGGAAGAACCACAGGCTGCCCAGTGATACTCCAGGCACTGGTGAGACACCCATTAAACCTACCACCTACCTCTTTGAAGACAAGTCACATAGTCCTGAGATCTACCTGCTGTATGATCCAGCATGCTTTCAGCTGGGTGCAGAACAGCATCTTTCTTTCTCCTGCCTCATCCCCCCATGTTCTCTGCCTCCAGTCCAGTTCAAAAACTTTATTTCTGTTTAGGTGCTGATACTAAGTCCCTTGAAAACTCGATCCTGTACCAGTGATTATGGGAAATACCATGGGGTATTTCACAGAAAGTCACCCCCAACCAAATAATCTTCACTATAAGGTGGTAGTGATACCCCCAACCAAATAATCTTCACTATAAGGTGGTAGTGATGTGAACTGCTTGGAAGACTGTTCGGGAAAGGCAGCAGAATTAAGGTTATGATGAGTTATCTGACTCTGCATTTCTGTTATCTGATGGAGCATCTGATGGAGCATGAAGCATGTATCTGCTTGTCCCTTTATCCTTGTTGCAGGGAGGCATGAAGCATGTATCTGCTTGTCCCTTTATCCTTGTTGCAGGGAGCTGGGGAGAGGACACAGCACTGTGCAGATTCAGGGGGCTCTGAGAAGAGCTGACTCTGAAGAAAGACCATGAGAAACTAGGTTATGGCTCTATTTACACCCAAACTTTAAATCTAAAATCTCAGAAATTACTACCTTTTGAGTTTTTTGTGATTCCTAGATAGAATGGATGAAGTCCCTTGTTTTTCAGCATAGGAGAGTACAGCCTTGTCAGTCTGATCAGCCTGAGATTGTTTCCCCCTTTAAGACTGCTGCCACATGGTAATTGGCAATGGAAGGGCATATGCTTCCTGGTATGATATGCAGAATAAAAATTATTGCAGTGGCAGTAATCACAAGGATTAGTGCACAGTGGGTTAGTGTTCACCTGAGTAATTTCATCAGTGAAAATCCAGTGATTTTGCTGTTAAAAATCTCTGCTAAAGGCTTCCCATTAATTTACTGTACTGCTTGCCTCCATTAGGGAGTAGGCAAATCATAACTGGAGAGACAAACACCTTCTGCTAGCTAAGAGTCCATTCACAGTAAGGTGGTAAAATGGGTTTAAACATTTTTATTCCTTAGTAAAGTAAATCAGACGCTCTCAAATTAGGCCTTATCCTTCATAAGAGAGTAGTGGTTCATTGTGAGGGACTCATGGGAGCTACCAGGAAGAGGCAGCAGCTTTGATAAGACTCCAGAAAATTTTTCTACTCCCTCTAAGAGTAGAGGGATTTCAGTGGAGCTTTGATTTCTCATCTCTGGTCAAATCTCTGGTTTCTCTTGGTATGACCATGACTGCTGTCTGTGCACACATCAGCCACAGGATCTCCCTGTACCAGCTCCATGAGCTCTGTGCTTTCTAGCTCCTGTCTTCTTGATGTTGCTCCAGTCCCATTCTCATCCATCCCTTGGGCCCCATAACATGCCATATTGTCAGTGGATCTGAAATATCTTTCAAATATTCCCTTTGGTATGTCCTTGTTTGAAGCTGCTGTACAAGGGGGTAAAAAAGAGAATTGCAGAAAGCCAGCGTGTACAAATGTCAGTAGCTTAACATCTAGTGCTTAACTGAAGCCTGACACTGTGGCCAAGCCATACTAAACTAAACTGCCTCCCAAAGGCACTTGATTATTTTGTTTTCACTTTTTTTTTTTTTTAAAAAAAACAAACTTCCTTCTATGTGATTCTAAATAAATATATCCCCCCCCAAAAGACAAAGTTTAAGTAATCACTGTGCCTTGCAATAGCCAGTCAAAACTTTCCAATCTGGAATATCTTTTCATTCAGGTAGGTGAACAGTGCAGACCACCAGAGCCTTGCTCCTTCCTAAACTGTAACTGAGAACAGCTGACCCAGTTCTGTTGCCTACTTTCCTCACAGTATTCCGTGAAGAAAACGGGGCTCCATCCATATTTTCCCTTTATTCAGAAAGTTTTAACCCTCATTCTAAACATGGATAAGATCGTTCTCCAATACAACAAACGTTTATGGTTCCAGAGGACCAGTTAATAGGTAATGCACTCTCCCTCTGCCTGTTGTAAGACTAAGTGCCAGGAGGTGGTAGCAGAACCTCAGGAAAGGGAAATTATGGTCCCACAGCACTTCCTTAGGAAACTATAATCTGTTTGTTGAAACTTCATGCTACAATTCACAAACTTGAAGTTTCAGACAATTTTCATGCAAAATGTCTTTTCCCATTGTTATTTATCTCTCATTTTATAGTGGTGACTTAACTTGTGGAGGAAAATGATAGTACTGGTGGTTTTCATCAGAGAGCATCAGACTAATGCTAAATTACCATGAGGCCCTTAGGCTGATGAACATACTGAAAGAAGGTGGGGAGATGTGATACCCAGAACAAGAAAAATCAAAGCAGAAATCTGGGTCCAAAATCCAGAGGAGTTGATAAACTTAATCCTATGTCAGATCCAGGCACAAAAATTGGTATGTTGAAAATCCCTCCTCAATTGCTACTTGCTTCTGAAGGTAGCTACTGTGTATAAATTTGATTTTTATTTATTTACTAATTTTTACACTTGATCATTTTTTCTGTGTGCCTTCATTTCTGTTTCTGGTCACAGAAACAGAAATGAATATTTGCCTCAGTAAGGCTGAATAATTCAGCTCTTTTACTGGCCTTAATCAACACGGCAATCTGCAAAACTGGATTCTCCTCTGCCTTTTTTGTCTGAGACACTTGCTCAGTAAAGTAGGTGCACTCTAGACATGTGACCACCAGCTGAAGCTCTGTGATAATGGCCTGTTATTCTTCAAAGGAAGTTAGTGGTGGCCAACTTTCCTTCCCAGTATCCCTGAGTTCCAAGAACAGACACAAGAGAGGCTTCAGTTTGCTTTTCCACAGTAAGACAATGGACATTAAAACCTTAGTCAGTTCCCAGCCTTGTTCATCCTGTCTGCCTGCTCAGGATTAAAGCTCTTGTGTGCTTTGTGGTTTTTGTGTCTAAGTCCTCAGATGCCCGAACAACATGATTTTCAAACTGCTTGGCTCCTGGCAGCTTCCAAGGACACTTTACTGACTTTATGTTGCCACCAGATTAATTTCCCTCTATAGCATATTAATTTCCTACTGAAGAGTACAGTCCATGCAGTAGCACCATTGCCTGGGTATCCCTACAGACTGCCCATGCCTCAGGTGGGAATGTAAGACTGCACTGCTCTGGGTCATGCTCCATCCCACATTGAAATAGGCAAGTGTCATCCCAAGGCAGTGCTGGACTTTACCAAAGCCTCTCAGTTTGGGTATGATCAAAAAGTATCCTTGGTCAGCTGCTGTGGTTTGCATGTGTGTGTGAGGGTAATTTCTTAAATACAATATTGTTTTTCAGTATCCTCCATGAAGTTGTTTATCTTTCACTTTTTCTTTTTTGCAGGCCCACATGTCTTGACTATTGCTGTCTTTACACTCACAGGAATTGTGATTCTGGTTCTGATCATCTCTTTGCTGATTCTAAGGTACAAATCCCATTGGCTTTCTGTTTGTTTGTCCTTGAACAGTTTTCCCACTAGGACAATGCCTTTGATCTCTCCTTGAAGAGCCATTCATTAGCTTACCTTACATACCTATGTAGTTGGCCCTTGTGTGAACTCTTTGATATATGCCAAACAGTGCTTACATCCATGGTGGTGTTATAACAGGTTAATAATCAAGGAAGAAGATGCAGCAAGGCTCAGTGTTCTAAATTCTGCTAAGAAGCTCTGATTCTACATAGAGATTCTCTACATACAGAGAAATATAAGTCTCAGACCAATCTTCAGAATTTTTCCACTTTACTACCCATCTTTCCTGGGATTCACTTATATTTCTGTAATGTATTGTTGACATAAAAATTCAGTCTAGAAGGTGGTATTTCTCTTGAGACAATGTAGGAGTCAAAACACCATGAGGTTTTGGTGTTTTCATTGCATGGATCCATTCCTTCAACTCAGTCCAACACCCTGCATAAAATTTTTTCTAACAGCTTGAAATTGCAGTGTTTAAGTCCAGCTTTATCATTATGAAAAAAGCAGAAATAGAAATCATTGATGCCTCCTTTTGATGGAAGAAATCCCACCACAATTCCAAAGTATAGAATTTTCTTTAGTCTTTAAAAAAATTATCTTACCTGTGCATCTGTTTTCAGTCTACATCTCGTTATGTATCAGAGAACTTAAGAAAAAGCAAGAAAATCAAATCTTAGGAAAAGTTTATTAGAAACAGATGCTATTCAGGCTCTTTCATTTTGAATAGGCCAATCTGCCTTCCCAACTAAAAGAAGGGAAAAATCAGAGATAAAGATACATAACTCTTACACATCCAATTGTACTCAAGACATGTAGAAGCTAATCATTGTCACATCTAAGCACTAACATATAAACAGACAGTAAAGTTTGCAATGCCTACAAAAAGTAATAAATAAAAGTATGGACTTGTAAAAGATTCTATACTTTTCCATATTTGCAGATGTATAAAACCTAAAGATTCCATTTAGATGATTGGATTATTATTGTATACATATCATTGTGATATTCCCAAGCATGAAATATAGAAGAGATTTCTGAGAACTTTTTAGAATAAAACTTGCATTTGTAGTATCAAAATAATAGCAAACTTCTCAAATATAATTGCTACCAAAGATTGTTCCCTAACAAGCAAAGAAGAGAAATTACTGTGAAAATCAACAAAATGCCTCATTATTCGTTCTTTATCTCCTAAGTCTCTAGCCCACTTGAAGTATTCCACAACCTGTGTAGTTCTGACTGCAAAGTAAAAATTCCAAGTCCAGAAAAACATATAACTAAATAGTCAGCCTAGTAGATTTTCATTCAGTTTGATATGTTTATAATCACCTGAACGTATCATATAGCTGATACTAGTTTGAGCTACAGTGCATCCTAGTGACACGCAGACACAACTTACAAGCTAGAAGAGAGAAAAATGGCTCTTACTGCAATTGTTGGTCTTCCTTTTCTTGTGCAAATATATACTAAAAATGTAATGAACAAGGGTATATTTTGTTGTTAGTCAACAGTATGGGTTCTGCCATTTGGAGCATTTGCCAGCAGTCATCAGTATGTTAGGATTTTCCTGCAAATGCTCCAGTCAGTCCTGTGGGGTTTTTTAGTAGAGGCAGGACTTGCACAAGTAAGGAGATAATTTGATGAGCCCTAGCTGTCTTGTAGCTTTTCTCTAAGACAGTGCTTGCTCTGAAGTTTTGCAAGGGAGACAGAAGTTTCTTTCTCCCATTTCCAATGACTCTTCTTCATTTTTATAAAATGTGCAGAATACAAGGGAATACCCACAAAAAAGCACCTCATCATTCAACACCTCCTCTCCTGGCATTGTATTCACAGCAGTTCTTACTATCCACTGTTTATGGCAGGACTTCCATTGGCTTGCATTTGTTTGTGGGACCTCTCTTTCAAGTACATTTAATAACATGGAGGAGAAAACTATGTAAAATCCAGATGGCCCTTTATGCTTTAAATTCTTCTGACCACCCCTGAGACTCTGGAAATTGCCTAGCAGTTGTTCTGCTAAATATGTTCTGTTCTGCTATAGAATGAATGAGGACTTAGGCTTTCCCAAAGCTAGGAGAACTAAAGAGTATCCTCAAACTGAAAAACTGGAGGAGAGCCACAGGGCTTGTGCTCAAGTCTCATCAACCTGCCACACCATCCTTGTGTCATCCTGACACTAGATGCTTCCTTGTCCTAATCTCCTGTTGAGGGTTTCGGTTCACTGGGAGGAAATTCTGAAAGACTTCTCTTATTCTTCAGGAAGTACAGGAGAGATAATGAGCGCCGGTGGAAGAAATGGTCCCATATACCACCTGAGGAAATCTTGCCTCTGGAGACCAGTGAGACGAGTCATGTTAGTTTGAAGGTAAGAGAAGCACAGTGCCCAAAGCTAGGTCTTGGATTCTGTCTCCTAAAGATAATCAATGCTGAGGTTTTGACATGTTCTGACTACAACACTCTAAGGTTCTGCTAGGACTAGGATCTGTTAACTTTTTCTTTTTTTTTTTTTCTTTTTTTAACCCATATGTGCTGTATTGAAGAAGTAGAGATTATTCCAAATCTATTGTTCCCTAATAGAATATAACTATTCCCATCAGTAAAGCTCATTTTGTGATGGCTAAATGGGTTGGGTACTGACTTCCAGTCTCTGTTACAAATGATTTCCCAGTGCTTTGTTATGCCTGTGTAATGCCCAAGAGCATGAAAACAGCAGGTGGAGGGCCTGGGAGTGGCATGGATGTTCCACACCTTCTGTGGCATGTAGTGACCCTCCCTAGAGAGAAAGGGTTATGCTTCTCTGTGTGGCACACACAGACATTACGAATCTCTCTGGACCTGTCAAGTGGGGAGTAGGTGATAATTGCAAGTTAATTATTCTTCTTTGTTCACAGATTGATGAAGATAAGAGACGTGACACCACCCAGAGACTGCGCCAGGGCAAATATGACAAGAAGGTAACCTGACTGCAGTGTCCATGCTTCCTTCCTCCCTTCCTTTAGGAGGGCACTTTTTGGGAGGAGGTCATTCCACCTCCCCTGACCTTGCAGAATGGTTTGTTCTTATGAAAGGAGTAAGTAATTTGTTCCCTATCAGCTGCTTTGTATTTTTTTTACTGACAGAAAGATAATTATTAGACTCTATGAACTCCTAGCCCAGGAGCACAGAAGCATAAACACAGGAACCAAAAATCTGATACATTTTGGTACTGAAGAGGTGAATAGGTTAAGGGAGAACAAGCTATTTACATGGCAATTCTTGTGCATTCAGTAGAGCTGTCTGCCTGATTGAAGTATATTCTTGTTAATTTAAAATCTGCACAACTGATAGAGCTAAATTCTTTGAAGAAGATATAGTTCCAGTACTTATTAGCTGATTAACTGAAACTCTAACAGTGAAGCAGTAGGCAGGTGCTTCTGAAGTATTTCTTTCTATGGACATTTCTTGGAAAAGAAAGGTGAATTGCTGCTGTACTAAACCTATGATTTTTTTCCCCCCACTGTTATTTTTCCTTCAGGTGGTGATCCTAAAGGATCTCAAAAACAGTGATGGTAATTTCTCAGAGAAGCAAAAAATGGAACTGAACAAGGTAACTGTTGCACATAGGAACTGGACACAGCAGGGTGGGATGGAATCTATGAGTGAAGTAATTGCTTTCCACTGTCAACTCCAACAGCCATATGCTTGTTCATGTTTGTGAGGTGGACAGGTAATGAATTCCTCAAAGGATATTGCTTGATGAACTTTATCTTTGTTATGTGATCTCATCACCACTTCAGAGTCTGGACTGTGTGCCAGTCAAGCTGAGGATGAATGAAGCAATTCATGTGCTGTCATATGGCCTTACTAAATCAATTTTTATAGCTGATGCTAAAAGGCACTGCACTCTTTTAGCTCATATCATACTAATTCATCAGTAGTGGAATGTTGTAGTTAAATCTTATTATTGAATGCCAATTGCAACTATTTAAATATAAGTTACTCTCTGCTGACTTCTGCATACAGACTCAACATGGGAGATTAATTTGCCTGCAGTACTGCATTTTTTTTTGGAATGGTTTTCCTTTTACACAACACTGCTATATATTGTGAATTCAATAAACTCTAAAAATACCTCAAAGTAAACTACAGTTGTCTATTTAAATGGACAAACTCCATAATATCATGCAGCATCATTAAATTTTTATTACTAGCTCATTTACTGACTGATTCACAACATTCTGTCACTCATAATGGCTATTCTGGTCAGCTGGGAAGTTTGATAGAGAGGCAGTAATAGATACTACAGTGGGCTCTGGAATTAACTTGAAGTATCCAACAGCAACCACTCTTATCTCCCAAATCCGGAAGGCTCTGGAATGACAAATGTCTTCAAGTATTTCACTCAGTGCTTTAGTACGCTCTGGTTTAAGGGAAACTCATACATCTTACAAGACCTTGAGATAAAAAGCTGTGTCACACAAGTGTCCACAGTCCTATGTTTCTGTACTAAAAATGTTTGTTTTTGAAGACAGATTAAATGTCTCTGCTCTAGCTCCTACAGATTGATTATTACAACCTGACCAAGTTCTATGGCACTGTGAAGATAGACACCATGATCTTTGGGGTGATTGAATACTGCGAAAGAGGTTCTTTGCGGGTAAAGAATTTTAAAGGTCTCCTTCTACCCCCAAATTATCAAATTTCAAAGTAAAAAAGAAATCCCCATCCCTGTGTCTTTGACCCTCATGCAGCAGCCATGGACTGAGCAAGTGGTGGCAGGTTTCTAAGTTTCCTCTCCCTTGCTTCGTTCTCTCCATCCCTCCCCAGGTGCTGCTGTCACTTTGATGGTTCTCAACAGCAAGAGGGTGAGGTGAGGTGGAGCCAAGGAAAAGTACAGGCCCAGGCCACAGTGACAGCCAATATTTGTATTGTGTCTCCTATTGGAAACATATAGGATATAACTTATTCTTCATTTTCCAAGCTGTAGCTTGTTGTCTCTGCTGATGTGCTTGTGTACCACAGATTGTGCAAGACACAAAAAAGAATATATTCCATATTAGTAAGGGAGAAAAATGTCAAGTTCTGCATTATAAGGGCAAACAACCCTTCATTTTTGTTTTTAAAAAGAAATGGTAAATTGATGCTGGCAAAAGAAAGACTGATGGAAAGACTTACGGTTTATTACTACCAATATTATTTCAGTGCCAATCATGAAGTGATAATCATCAGCTCTTCTGAGGGCATATATTGTCTCTGCTTCTGTGGTCATACAAAGACTGTCATCAGCAGCAGTGGTCTCTGGAACAAACTCACAGCAAGGCAGCAAAATAATTGTTCTCTCTCTAAGTTGTTTTCTGGTAAACTGGCATACTCATAGAAGTTTACTTTTATCAAGGGATGTCATTATGGCTGAAAAAACTGTAAATGATTGTCAGGCAAAGATAAAGCAACAGTTTATTTTGAACTTGTAAAGCTAGGAGTAAATTGGTAGGAAATGGCCTTTGAGCACTGACCATGGAAAATCCTCTCCCTTCCTCTTGCAGAAGTTGACCATTTGTTTAACCATGAGCTACTTTGTGTTATTAAAGACTTGTTTTGAGGACCAAATTCAAAACCTATTTTTAATTGCAGAAACCCCTCTTTTCTGTTGTCCCTACTTTTCTAGCTCTGTGTAAACTTAATGTATATTTAATATTCCCTATTTTTTGAGTCAGCTTCAGGTCTAGTGCATGTACTCTCTATAAAGAACAAAGTTGTTGGTTGAAATTTGTATACCCATATCTCATCTTCTGCTTTTTTTTCCTGAAAAACTTTTCTTCTCTTGACAGGATGTTTTAAATGATAAAATATCCTACCCTGATGGCACGTTCATGGACTGGGAATTTAAAATCTCAGTCATGTATGATATTGCCAAGGTAAGTGGACTGCTGACTACAATGTAAATCAACCTGTCCTGTCACACAAAACTGTTTCGCTGAGGAGTGTAGCTCTTAAGGTTTTCTTCTTTCCTAGAGCTGTATGCCCTCCCAGTCTTTTCTCCTTTGGGGACAGGTATCTGAGGCAGGAGAAGCCAGTGGCTTTCAGACTGAAGGAGGAGATAGGGGCCAGAACTGGATTTGGACTATTTATAAATAAACAAATGAAGTATACCCTAAAGAAATGTGGCTCGAAGATCACAAGGTTACAATCTGCTGATCAGTGCAGTCACAAGCTCTGCAAAACACACTGATTTGTGGCCTCAGGTAAAGCATATAGAGAAAAACTGTATTTTTTCAAATCATATAATTATTCTAATATATATCCAGAGATGGGATCAACTTTTTCTAAACAAACGGTTTATGTACCTTCCTGACTTTCTCACTAGAATGAGAAACTCTAGTTTCTCACTACAGCTATCCATTTCAAGCAGTTTGAGAGGAAAAAAGTTAATCTTGTACAGAAACCAAGACTGGTTTTCAGTAGCTTTCAACAGATCTTTGCTTTTTAGGTCCTTGTGGTAGGAAAAATCAATATGCACAGTAAAGGAAATTCTGTTCTACATTAGAGACTTGTAACTGTTTAGCTAGTAGGTAAGGACCCTTTGTAATTCATTGGTGTAATAATTCATTATACCTCTACAGATAATGTAGAGAATCGCCTCTGTGTTTTTGCTAGTGTTCAGCTGCTCTCCTCTTCCTATCTGGTTTGCAGTTGGATGGTCCTCCTGTTTCCTTACATGCACCAGTTTGGATTTGGTCTCCATAATGAATGACTCCACTGTGTCTGTTCTAAAGAGATATTGAAAATCTTGTGCTTTATTAAAGCCCCCTTAATCCAAATTGTCACAGTTTGTTGGCCTTGTTAATGACTTAATAACTAAACTAATGAGTTTAGTTAACCTTCAGGTAAAGTTTCATTTTAAATAGCAGCAGAGGAGTTTCCCTTCCTCCTTAAAACATATCAAAACCCAGGGTATTTTTTAACTCTTTGCAGTTCACCTTCAAATGTTTCCTTAGAAAATAAGGATTAGTACTGTCTCCTTTCATGAGGAAAAAGAAATCCCATTCCCTCTGAATGGATTGACCAAATGACCAATGACTGCATTCATACTGAGACTTCACAGCCAGTCATTTGCTGTACTTTTGGTACAAGGGACAGGCATCTGAGTATGGATTGGCACACAGCATCTGTTATGTGGAATGGCTCCTGAGCATTATTTGTTGTGTTAGCAGGGATGGTTCACAAACTCTTCATGAAAACTTGTATGTACCTAGGAACAACAGGAAAGTTACTGTCATTTGGGTGATCTGCCAGCCTCTCCTATTCCTTGACTTGATACTGTGGTGAAGCTTCTGGGACCTACACATTTCCATGAAATCCTTGTATTGCTTTTTCCAAATCTTATCTTCTAAACCTCCAAGCACCCTATCTACCTTTACTTGAATAACTTCTGTTTTTAAAGAAGCCATTTCATGGCCTCTCAACTCCAGTTTCTCTCATCTCAGTATCTATCCTTTTCAAGTCCAGACACAGCTCTCCAGGCTGTTAAAATACCTATGACCTGGTGCAGCAGTTCCTTTGCCTTCCTTTTGAGATACTTCTCCCTCTCCTCACCATCACTTTTGTACACTCTGCTTTTACCATGGCCCAAACAGTCCTTGTACCATGCTTGCTGCATGTACCTCTGAACAAAGACCGGGTCACTTGTATTCCCTGGTGCAAGCAGCCAAATTATGGCTATTCTTGGAGTGGTCTCTAGGTCAATAGAACTATTGAAAAGCCAAAGAGGAAGCCCGAAATCTACTCTACTTCCTCCCCTCCCCCTGCTTTTTCTTGCCTTTTTGCTATCATAGCTGCCTCTAGGATTGATGGGACCACCTTGTAGCTACATGGATTTGTCCATGTGACCAAAGAGCTCTGATGAAAGGTCTGCTGAGAGAGAATTGCAGTAATCAAGCCTTGTAGTTATTAGTGCATACACTGTCGTTGCAACACTATTTATTAACTAAGCGGCTGCTGCAGGATATTGTGCAAGGGATTGTAATATTCTTGCATTGTGCCAGGAAAAGATTTGTCAGTCAGAACTAAAGCTTCAGAGCTCCAGAGCAAAGGTTACAAGAATGCTCAAATACTTGGAACTATTGTATTGAAAGTCACTATAAATTTTGAAAATCACATTGTGGGTTTTTAATAGGTTCTGTGTTTTCAGGTAGGTGCACAGAATAGTGGGGAGGAAAGAGAAAATTTTATCAGGTACATCTATAAGACCTTTGCCTCCAGAAATTATTAACAAGAAAGCCTTTAGGTAAGGAAATCTAAATTACCTTTATCTGTCAATTGATGCTGATACTAATTGGGAATTCTGCTGCAGTAATGGGAATATTTTGTGGCTAATGAAAGCAGGAGCTGGAAGAAGGCGCTGCTGGAGGAAATAGAGCCTAAAGCAGGCAAAACATCCTGGACAGAATCATCAGGGCTGCATGCAAAAAGCAATGAAGAAATGTGTTCCTTGGGTAGAGTGTGCAGAGAACTCTGTAAATTTGGTATGGTCTAAATAGGTCCAGGATAACCAGTCCAACAACATTCTCCAGAGATTGCATCTTTTGCAGGCTGTTTGGGTCTCAGACATACATCTGCTCTGCCCAAACTCAGCTCATATCTCAGTGATCTTTTGTAGCATTTGCTGATCCATTCCCAGTCATGGGTAGCCCAGTATTTGAAAAGAAAACCCAGCATAGAGTATATAGAGTATATTCATGACCACATGGGCCTGATGAGATTCTGTCTACCAATTATACAAAAGGATGAGTTTTACATGTAGGAGCCTAAGTGGAAAATCATTCAGAGAAGAAGATAAACAGATACGACATATATGTTCTAGCTTCCACCGGATATAGACTGCACTTCATATACTGAGCACGAAGAAAAGAGGACTATAGGAAGGAAAACAATCAACAGTAGGTTATAAATAGGTGTGAGTTGAAGTAGTTTAGAAGAGTGAGATGAAACAGAATAAATAATAGCAAGAGGTACAAATTAGCATATCTATTCCCTTCTTCAGCTGACACCCACTTAATCATGTTCTTTTCCTGCTGTGTCTCTGTGCCATCCCCTTCTCATGTATTGCACTGCATTTGAGTGTATTGGACTAAATCAGATAATTTCAGAGGCAATGAGTAAAAAGGAGCAAGCTGCACACCTCTGTATGCCTGTGTGTGTTGTGAGTCAGGAGACTGAGTCTCAGGAAATAGAGATGAAACTGCATTGGCCAGGCCTCATGCTAGCTTCAAGTTTAGCTCATGGATAGCTGGTATGTATTGATTTGTACAGAGAAAACCATAAACAGTCAGGTCAGCAGAGACCTTTATGACTGTCTAGTCTGATTCTCTGTCTGATCTAAGCCCTAGTGCATCATCTGACACTCTCTGCGTTGACTGTTCTGGAGCCCTCTGCAGTTTGAGGATCTGCTGCAGTGTTTCAAATAAAGTCTCTGGTGTATAGTGATCTTCAAAGAAGATACAGACATAAGGATCAATTCCTTTCACACCTCTTGTGTCTGTTGGATAAACGTGTAGTTGGAAACACTTCTTTGTGTGACTTTCCAAGAAATCTATATTAAATTTACCAAAAAACATTTATTGCAAGTGAAATTGCAAACTTTTATGGGAGGAAATACATTTCCCTTATTACTTGTGTTCTGATATTGACAAAACCAGGATGCTATGTCAGACCGTTGTTAACTAAGAGGAAGGATGGCCTCCTATGGCAAGACCCACTTCCTAATTTCTCAACATTGACTGTTCCTATGACCTTGGAAAGTCTCCTTTGTAAAATAATAATATGAAAGGGAATTGTGATTTATGCATATCCATTGCAGATGAAGTCCATCTAATTAGTTGCACAGATATTATGCTAATATTTGCATTCTTGTAGAGTCTGTAACATCTGAGTGTCTCACATGTGTTGTGCTTTCTTTCTCTTTTATTCTCAACCACAGGGGATGTCTTACCTGCACTCAAGCAAAACTGAAGTCCATGGTCGACTCAAATCCACAAACTGTGTAGTAGACAATCGCATGGTAGTAAAGATCACTGATTTTGGCTGTAATTCAATTCTGCCTCCAAGGAAAGGTAAAAAAATGCCCAACTGGACTCTCCTTCATGGTTTCCAACCCAGTAGAATTTTCTTATCCTCATAGACCAGTAGGGTCTAATTACATGTTATATACATAACAAAACAATGCAACTTTGCTTCATATTATAGCAACCATTATATTGTTTTAACTTAAATAATACAATGAAAGAATTACTAGCAGGTAGTGAAAGAAATTAGGCAGCGTGAGAAGGAAGGAAAGAGGAATATTCAACTTCTAGTTTAGAAAACAGATTTCACCTGGGATTGAGATGTAAGAAACATTTTCAGTATCCAAGTCCTTCATGCAAACAGCCCTTTTCAGCAGTAGTACTGAAACTGCGTGAAGAATTTATTTACCATAAATCTTGTAATTGATTAGATACATGTGTTACCACAGTGCTCTGTGATAGCATTAACAGGCATGACTCTGATAATCCTTGAAGAAATCTGTATTTATACGTGATGATAACTCTGTTTCTTATGCCTTAGTTAGGAATTTAGTAATATATGCTCAACCAGATTGGAATAATATTAATAGCTTTTCTTCACATTTTCTATTCACCTCAAATTCATAGAATATTTCTGTAAAATAGAACACTCCTTTTTACTCAACTTTTCCTTCTTACTTGATCTGGAGTGAAAAGATCAGTCCATCTGAAACTACATCATATGAATCTGTAGAGTAGAGCTTGGAGTATAATAAGCACAGCACTGTGCTGTAACTGCAGCATATGACTTGAAAATAAACTGGTTGCAACTGATTTGGAGAAAATTTTTACATTCAGACACAAACATACTCAAGGAGTAGCAATAAGAATATAAAAAATGCCTAAGAAAAGTGCACTGAACATAAATGTTCTATTCATTCTTCATTTTACAATTTTAATATTCTACAATTTTTAAATTTAATTTTATAGTATTATTACACTGTAATAATCTTTTTTTATTGCTTGTAAGCAGCCTCAAAATCTCTGGCTACTCAGTCTATGTCCTTGAAGAAAACTCACTGTTTCACAAGAGGTCAACAGATTGATTGTGGCTGGATGTTACAGCCTAATATCATAACACTGTCTTCAGGGTCACTGTGTTCAGGTCACTGTTATGGTATGTCATCAGCATGTCACAGCTGTTGTACCATGGCAGCATTCTGGTTTTGAGGTACAATGGTGCCCATTGCACTAGAAATACAGATTAATAATTTCTGTAGAAAGCAAGTAGCTATGAGCAGGTAATACTATGTCAGGCTCAAAAGCACTTGAGAATTATTTCAATAGCCTCATGATATCAAGGCCATTGGGAAATATTGCAGTCTTTTCATCAAACACTGTGTATAAAAAACTCCTTGCATCTCCTAGCTGAATAATTTATGGCTCAGGGTTTTTTTTATTATAGCACTGGCATTCCTTGGTCTTATCCAGATACATAGGCTATTTCTAAGAAGCCTGTGAAACGTAGCTAAGAAAAGCAAGTTCATTGCCAATGAACATAACTTTTCTGAATGACTAGGAGTCTGCACCTATGGTGAAAAGTAGCAGGGTCAGCAAATCCCAGAAAATTGAAAACTACATCAGAGGTTTATCTAACCTGTATTGATGTCAGCTTCTCAAGAAAAATGCTAAAGTAGGAAATACAATACTAGTGGGCTCTGGATTGGATATGAAAAGAGTAAAAGGAAATGTTATTATAGCCAGTGGATGGTCTGAGAAGGATCACACTTTTTGCAATTATTTCTCTTCTTTCCTCTTTACATTGTCCCACATTGCCATCTGGATCTTCAGACCTGTGGACAGCTCCTGAGCATCTGCGGCATGCTGATGTATCTCAGAAGGGTGATGTATACAGCTATGGCATCATTGCCCAAGAAATCATCCTACGCAGAGAGACGTTCTACACTGGACACTGCCGGGACTACAGAGGTAATTCCACAGACTTCTCCTCTATTGCAGCCTTCTGGGATGGTTGTAGCTGTAACTGGCCTATTCTCCATGTTTTGTGAAAGGCACTGTCTCTGATAACTGCTTGAACAGCTGCTCCTTTCTCTGAGTGGTGAATGAAGAGCCTGTTTGAAGAATCTCAGTGTGGGGGCAAGTGTCCCTATATCTTCTGTAAATAAAATTTGTATGGAGTTTTCTTGCCCTTTCTCTTCCCTTCTCACCTAGAGCAGAGCATTACAGAAGTTAACATTATACAATGCTGTCCAGACTTACTGTAACATTTAAAGGCCTCACATGTTTTTCTATTTTAACTTGTAAACAACAAGCAATATGCCATTTATTTTGGGCAGCATAAATCAGCATTGTCAACACAGAACAACAAAAACTCAGCTGTGTGACACAAGAACAGTTGGCATTTAAAACTGGCAATTCAGACTTCATTCAAGCTGGTTATAATTAACTTTAGCAATTTAATTTCTGTCAGAAAAATCATCTCCTCCTGTAGTGCATCTATTAAACCCCGTATTGTGCATTTTGTGACATTGTTTTTGAGTGGCTGTTGTGGTTTTCAGCCCAGCTGGGAATTAAGCACCATGCAGCCGCTTGCTCAACTCCCCCTCTCTACCATCCTTCTCCCTGGCGGAATGAGGAGAATCAAAGTAAAACATAGGTTGAGATAGGAACAGTTAAACATTTGAAAATAAAGTAAAATACAATATTAATGATAAATTATAGTAATAATGGTAGTAAAAAGGGAAAAACAAGTGATGAATAAAGAAATTGCTCAGTACCTGCTGACCAATACCAGACTCCCCTTCCTGAACACAGATAATCCTCCATTCCAGGCAACTTCCCCCAGTTTATATGCCAGGCATGATGTTCTTTGGTGTGGAATATCCCTTTGGTCAGTCTGGGTCACATGTCCCAGCTATGCTCTCTCCCAGTTTCTTTTGTGTGTCCCCTCACTGGCAGAGAACCTGAGACAAATTTAAAAAAAAAAATAAATTAAAAAAAAAAATTCCTTGACTTAGGATAAACACATCTTAGCAAAATACCAAAACAACAGTGTGTTATCAACACTGTTCTTATTCCAAATTCAAAACACAACACGCTAACAGTTTCTGAGAAGAAATTAACTACCCTAGCTAAAATCGGGACACTGTTCACTCCTATCCAGCCCAGTCAATCCCAATCCCAATTATTATGTACTAGAACTGACAGAGAAACTTGTGTGGGTTTAGGATTTTCCTAGTGACTAACAACAGTTACTAACAACAAATTTAGACATTGCCTTTACCTCTGAGTCATTCTCTTAGATCTGCCTCACATTTGTTAAAACATCCAGAGCAGCAGCTCGACAGCCTAATAGCTCTTTTACTGAGTCACATTTGAGAATAATTTCATATTCATCATCCTACATTATCACAAATCTGTGTTTGTATTTGGGGAAACACAGTTTTTGACATCACCAACTCTGTAATATAAATGTAGATCTAAATGAGATTAGAAATGGCTGTTCCCCTTAGACCAAACTGTTCAGGATTCCCTGCTTAATAAAAGATAGAAAAAATAAAGTCTTTCTATTCCTATTTCTTGGGAAAAGGCAGGCACAATCCTTATGAATGCAAGAATTTTACAAATATTGCCAACATGGATAAAGGAAAGTGCAATGCCCTACCTTGCTCATTTTGACTTGTAAAGCAAATCCATAGAAAAGTACATTCTTTTAACAGCTTGTTGAGCAATTGCAGTCTTTCTGTGTTGTGTTAATGGTTATTAAGTTAGCTTCAGACATAGTGTTTCTTGGCTTTTCTGAGATGTGGTGGCAACCTCAATGCTCTGTGTTTGACCCTGACTGTCATAGTCAGAACCTGGTTCCTTGTTTTAACTATGACCTGTATCTTAACATTGTATTCTGTCGTTTTGGAAAGACTGTCCCTTTCAAACAGTGTGAGGTTAATCCATGCAATTTAAAGAATTTGTAGCGCCTAAACTAGATACCTAACAGCACCTAAGTGATGTTGCTGGAGATGGTTACATATTAGCAAGTGAGGTAAGACAACAATAAATTTACTGGGTTTGAAATCTGTTTGGTAAATCTGGGTCCACTGTAACTTAAAAAAATAATCTGCTTTGTAAACTTCTGCTGAAATTTTACATTTTCCATCCAGTGAGAAGATTTTTTTTCTCCACAAAACTTTTTTTCCATAAAAGCATTATTAGATGTCTAAGATACATATTGCTGGTCTAATGGCTTCTGGTATTATTCTTGACTTTTGTTGATGCAAGTTGAGTAAAAGGTGTTCATTAGTTCATCAAATTTCATGTAACAGAAAGGAATTAGTTTTATTACATGTTGCTGAAGTGGCTCCTCATTTAAATACCTGATTCATTCATTAGCCAAGATGAGCAAGACAGTGAACCATACTTACTCAAACACTTCTGCATTTTGTTTGCGGCATTATCTAACTTAGGAACACAGTAGCTCAAACTTGGGGTTACCATTAATTTACAAATATCCAAGATAAAAAGAGGGGGGAAAGTACCAAATTAGAGTCAGTGGTAATGGATAAAGAAATGTCCCTGTTGCATATTAGATTAATTTGGTTTTTAAGTCACAAGAGAAACTCTTTCAATGGCTAGGCTATCAGAAGTTAGTCTCTGCAAATTAGAAGACATGATATTGATATTTCAGGACAACTGATAAAACTGCTTCTCCAGGTTTAAATGACAGCAACAAGGACTGTGTTCAGACTTTAAAAGACTTATTTAAAAAGCTCCATACCTGAGCTCCACCCACCAACTTCAAAAAAATAAACTCTACTTTCAGTTATTCAGTGAGCCAATTTTCTCAACATGAAAATATGTATCAGTCAACTTAATGTACAACAATATTGCTGCTAATGAGAGAGAAGTCCCATGACAGGTATACAGAACTGGATTTCTAATGCATAGAAGTAAGTAGGTCATAGTCCTCTTCACTGACATCTCTGCAAGAAGATGTTCCCCATCTGGTTACTCCACTCTTCTGCAGGAACACCTCATTCACAGCTCAAGACTGTGAAATCGTGCCACGTACCAACGCTCAATTCAAGCTGCCTCCTTGTTTCACTACTTTCTGCCACTGACTAATTGCAGTATTGCTAATAGCTGCTGTTACTTCCTCTCCCAGATGTGTGTCCAAGCATGGAAATCCAACACATTCCCCCTGCATACCTGAGCCCTACACAGACTTTCCTGTCTCTTAGCCCACAGAAGACTTCTCAGCAGTTTCTCCACTCCATAGCGTTTGGGAGACTAAAGTTTCCTGCTCCTTCTCTAGTCTGTAATTTCTGTACCAAAAAGTTGAAAGCTGCTGTATCATTTTGGGGTGATCATGCACATTGGGCATGTTTAGGCATCTGTAGCTGCCCTAGAACAGTGCAATTACAAACCTTCCTTGTGTCATAATACACTTCTTTCAGTAAAATTTTATCCCAAATATAATAAGACATTATTAATAAATAATCTGTTCTGATTCATAGATCCCTTTCAATTTCTCTTTACTCCAGAGGCAAAAAATTACTTCTCTTTTTTAAACATCCCCCTTCCCCTGGAATTCTTGAAGTCTGCAGGAGAAAGACAAAGGAAGATGTTTTTGCCTTAGATCTCTCTTACTGTGCTTAAATTGAGTTGTGCAAATGCAGCCTGATTTTGATGTGTTCAGAGTCCAGCTAATTTTCATAGAATGGGTTTAATGACTAGGAGTACAAACGAGTTAACAAATGCAATGCTTTTAACCCATTTATATTAATAGCTTAGTTTTAAGGAAGTTAAGCATCTGCAGGATGATTTGAACTGCTCTAATGAGTGGCGTATGTCTCCACACTTTTGATCAAGTTGCAATGGGCTTTTCACATAGGTTTTTAGTATAATTATGCTTCATGCTGAGAGGCACACTAATAATGCCCAACATTCATTTGGGAAGATGCCATAACCATGTCTACCGTGACCAGTAAATACTCATGTATATTTCCATTCAATTTCCTTTCAGGGGCCTTCAAGCCAACCTGTTTTGGTCTTGTGCCATATATTTAGAAAAGCTACAAATTTGAAACTCACATCAAAATGAGGGAACCGTCATCAAGGCTTCTGTTTGTACAGTATCTTGTAACATCATAGACTGCTATACACAATAAATGTCCTTCTTACACTTTTTTGTTTAAAACTTTGATCTTTTTTGTGTACTAGAGAAACTTTACAGAGTGGAGAGCGGCAAAGGAGTAAAGCCATTCCGACCAGACCTGACCTTGGATACAGTGGGAGAAAGACAGATAGAAGTAAGCTAATAATTAATGAAGCCATTTTCTGGGTGAAGGGTGGAAGTTCTGACCAAACTAAAGGCTATGATCATGGGAAGGTGAAAGCTATGCATTTTGTTCCAAATGCCCTAATTTGTGGGAATAAATTGCATTCTATAGTTGTTACCAGAATTGTGAAATACAACTCATGGAAATTATTTCACTGGACAGAAACAGACACTTACATGGTGCTACTCTTCTGACCTGTTTTAGATATTCTTGAGATGGGATGAATTACACCTCAAGTATACCTCTCTCCACTGATACAGCCCCTATGGCTTCTTGCTTAGGTGAAAATGTCTGTATTGTAGATAATCACATATTTAGAAATCAGCCCCATTCTTTTTGTCTGAATCACCAGTTTTCAGAATATTCCCAAACATGGGATATTGGAAATATAATTATCACAGCATCTAACACCATGTCACTAACTGTGTCTGACACCAGTCTGCCACCAGATCTGTAAATGGATCCATTTACTTGCCTTACATTTGTGTATTGCAAGTTCAAGCTAAGATCATGTCACTAGTCATCAGAGAGTTAAGATGCGGGCAATGAGTGTTCTAACCATAGGTTCCAGACAGTTAGTCACACAATTTAATATGTTGCTAGTCAAGAGTAACCAGAAATTCTCTAATGAACTAGTGCTGTTTAGTACTACTCTCTGATTATATCCATTACTCAGGTAGACTTTTCCTTAAATTTTTGTTTAAAGGTATATACACTAGTGAAGAGCTGCTGGGAGGAAGATCCAGAGAAAAGACCTGACTTTAAGAAAATTGAAAGTACTCTGGCTAAAATATTCAGGTGAGCAGCAGTGGCTTTGTTTTTTAAAATGCTCCAAACTTTTCCCCTATTAGAAAGCTCATATTATTAAGTGTGTAAATTGATGTGATTATGATTCAGTCGGTGGAAAACCCTAGTGTCTTCACTTAGATCCTCTTTTATGCTTTGGCTGAAAAGTAGGTGAGCATGTGCATATGTTAAGTACCTGTGTACAATCTACTAGCTGAGTGAGGGTGAGATGATCACTGTACCTCAAATTGGTACATTGTGAAAGTAGCAAGCTGGATAATTAGGGATTTAAACCAATCAAATAATTCCCTCTCTGTCTCTAGTCAAGAACTGGATAGTGACTCATGTCATTTAAGTTTTGGTAAATGAATGCACACAGATGTTTGAATGATGATTTGAAAGTTTGGATGGTCCCAAATTAAGCTGACAAGAAATGTTGAATTGTAACTCACAAGAAGTATTAATTACAAGGCTTTGGTGGTACAAAGTTGTGGGAAAATAATAAGGATCATAGCTGGATAAACCCTGTGGGGTTACACAGGCCTTTCACGTGGACAATGCTGTGTTGTTCCTGCGGAATTTGTTCTGAATTAATTATTCCAATGACCAAACCGTGAGCTTTTAATCATTTCTCCTGGGACATTGCTTCCCAGTTTTTAAGGCTCTCCCCATCAACAAACCCCAGCAGCACCATTTTATACTTTGCATGGGCAGGACGGCTGTACTGTGCATAATTGAATGTATCAGCTGAATAATCTTTCTGCTGCTGAATATAGAGTCCTCCTGGTTCAGCTCCTAAAGCCTCCTTCCTACAAAAGCAAAGAGGTTGCCTCTTGTCACATGCAATATGGTGTTCTTCTCATGTGGGTCTAAGATGATGCACCCCTAATACAAAATTTGTTTGAAGTAAGAGTGATTCAATACTAATCTTCCAGTCAGCCTGGTCCCAATTACTTTCAGACTGCTTTGATGAGTGCAGGCTGCCCAGACAAACAGGGGTTTGAGTGGCTCATGTTACCAAACTTCTGCTTCCAGGGGTTAGTAGGCTTGAGTCTGCAGGATTTTGTGAGTAAAACTAACCCTGGGGCTGTTCATTGTTCCACTGTATTCTTTGGTCTTCTAAATAGATGGCCCCAAATTCTCTTTATCCTTCTGCCTGAAGTCCCCATCTATGTGCAATTTTCTGCCTACTATTTTTAGCTTCCTCTCAGAATCTGAGCTTCTCAGTTACATTTTACAAATGAATGTTCCTGGGTTACCTAAGGTAATCTAAAATTGACAATATTAGCAGGGCTAGGTGAATGAAAGCTGCTTTAAGAATTACCAGCTCCAAATGACAAGTGTGGATTACAGACTTTCAATTCATCTATGTGAGGCCTCCAAGCAAGCAAAAGAATGATGCACTTGAGGCACTTTGCATTCTAACTACAGGAAAGTCAAACACTGGAGAAATTTTCTGTTGCTGCTTTTTTGTCTCCTTTTAGCTTCTCTCAACAATGTACATCTATTAGTCTTTCTTCTTGACTCCCGTGTAATTCTGTTATTTACAGTAATTTCCATGGCCAGACCAATGAAAGCTACATGGATACCCTGATCCGGCGTCTACAGCTGTATTCCCGGAACCTGGAACACCTGGTGGAGGAAAGGACAGAGCTGTACAAAGCAGAGAGAGACAGAGCAGACAGGCTTAATTTCATGTTACTTCCAAGGTAACTGGCCAGGAGGATTTTTGCTGGCATTTTATTTACATACACCCAATTCTTGCAGAGTAGAGGATAGGATTAATGTTTATGCTCTATTTTCTTCCCATCTAATCTAATCCTGCAAGGAAAGAAAGAAGCAGCACTTATCCCTGAGCTCTCCACCCTATAGTAGAGTTTCATGCCAAGATAGTACTGGGACCTTGCTCAACATTTCTTCATGCACAGTATTCCCCTTTCCAGCACAAGCCTCTCTTTCACTGCTTCCCAGGGAACACAAATCTACAGTGATCCCACGTCACAGAGCACTGGTCTGCTCCAGCTCCTTTCTGGTTAGAAAGAGTGTCTTCAGCTGAAGAGCAGGACTGGAGTCCAACTTCAGGCTGGGGTTTAGCAATGCAAGAGGGGCTGAGGTTGGCAGGGTCACACTGGGTTAGGTGGATTCTTCAGAGTATACTGTAGGATAAGTATTATTGGCATTATAATACTGGTAATACCAGTAATTTTGGTGTTTCACACATTCAGAATAGTAAAACTATCCTGGTATGTCATTACTAGTTTCAAGGGTATTTCAGTAGTCAGGTTATTGATTTTTGGCTCATCTTGAAAAAAAAAAAAAAAAGAGTAGTTTTGGGGAAAATCAGGAATGATCTGGATGATCTGGCTGTATAGATAGTGCAACAAGGAATTAATGTCTCCTTCCATTCCGTTGTTCCTACCACTCTGTTAGTGTTTCATTGTAGATGGAACACAGCATTTTGCAAAACCTATAATTTTCTGGGTCTCTTTCAGTTCTTCTCTTCTAATATCACCACTAGGAACAGATATTTCCCTGGATTTAGGATTGCAAGAAAAAGAAGGTCCCTCTTGAATAGACATTGACTGTCATGGTATTGAATTTTTCTTCCATAAATTACCAGACTAAGATACCTCATCTGAAATCAGGATGAGTTGATTATATAATTATATAATTATTATAATGAAATTACTTTGTGTTGGGAAAACAGGAAAATATGTCTGTTCTTACTTATTGTATGGGTAGAATGTAGGTCTACATGTCACATTAGTAAGTGCTTTGAGGTCACTGGCTGAAAGACATTATAAGCATCTAAAATGTGATTACAATGGCAGTTGTCAGCAAACTGTTTAATATTTCCTACACAGAAAGCAATACTGTGATTGGGTTGCATGAAAAAATACCTTTAATAGTAAACACGAGTCATCTGTATTCCTGCCTTCTCTGTTTCCACAGGCCAGTAGTAAAGTCCTTGAAGGAGACTGGCCTGGTTGAGCCAGAGCTGTTTGAAGAAGTCACTATCTACTTCAGTGACATTGTTGGCTTCACCACGCTCTGCAAATACAGCACCCCTATGGAGGTGGTAGATATGCTCAACGATATCTACAAGAACTTTGACCACATTCTTGACCATCATGATGTTTACAAGGTGATTATCTCTGTACTTCTGCTCATTTACAACCAGTGGATACAAATCAAATTGCATGATGTAGTGGATTTGGGAATCTGCCTTCTAAGCAAAGCAAAAGAGAAAAACAGGTCATGATTACTTCATTTAAATATGTTTTCATTATGCCTACTTACACCAAATTTCCTACAGTAGGTGATCACACATTCATTAATTGGAGTGTTGGGTATAGTTATAAACACTCATACACCCAAATGGGGTCAGCTACCTAAAATTAATCAATCCTGCTCTCAGGGGAAGAAATGTTTAGTCATGAACAAGAGGATCTGATAAAACATTTCTGCTTTTAACTAAAGATGTACTTTTCTATGTATGGAAATAGTGAGTTCTGATTTTATTTTCACAGGTGGAGACCATTGGTGATGCTTACATGGTGGTGAGTGGTTTACCAAAGAGGAATGGCAACCGGCACGCAGTGGACATCTCCATGATGGCTCTGGACATCCTCAGCTTCATGGGAACTTTTGAACTGAGACATCTGCCAGGGCTGCCTGTTTGGATTCGCATTGGAATTCACTCTGGTACACAGTAGTGCTAGATCAACAGTGACAGTGTTGCCTGGTTTTGCACAGAATTAACACCCATACAAGATCTGGTAATACACCATACACAATTGCCCTTGTCATGAAGAATCAGGCTGAAAAAATGTTCATAGAGGAAGAGTAACAGAAGTTAATAAGATGCTGTTTTGCTCCTGCTGTAGTGAAATAGTCTATAGCCATTAATTCATAGCCTAAGTCAGTAGCTAGGATAAGCAACAGCCACTGCTCCTGGTGTGATTAAACCAGTTGTATTAAATAAGCCTTCACAGATTATTTCTCTCTGACTGAAGTGGAAATCAGTCATGGCCAGCTATGCTTATCTAGGCAAAAAATGCAAGCCTATATTTTGTGCTTTTGGAGGCACAACTTTGGTTGAGTCTGTGTGTCAGACTTAATGTTTTAATTTATCTATAAAAATATTTTTGTCAAAGGGGAACTTCAGATAGTGCAACAACTTTGGGAAATTCCTCACCCCCCTCAACACCAGCTGCCAGGGGAGGAACACATCAGAGAACTGAGGCACATCAGTGACTGAGGCACTGGGAAACCTCTTGAGGCACCAGTATTCACCCTTGCATAATGAAGCTTATTCTATTTTTCTCTTGCTTCCAAACCTGACAGTTAATAAATGTACTTCTTTTTTTCTGCACAGAAATTTGGCATAAATACAATTAACACTGTGCAGCTGTGTCCTTTTTATGATCTTACTGGATAATTCTAGAATAACAGCTAGGCTTGGTTTATAGTGGGAGACCACGAGATACTGTGGGAAGTGAGGTAGAAAGTATTGTCAGTGGTGAGGAATGCAGAGTTCCCCCAGGCACTGCACTGCTTTTCAACAGTGTGACACCTGCCAAATAAATCAAGTACCTTGATTCACCCTTTTTATCTCTTTACATCCCATTTCTAGGTCCATGTGCGGCTGGTGTGGTTGGAATAAAAATGCCTCGTTACTGTTTGTTTGGAGATACAGTAAACACAGCTTCGAGGATGGAATCCACAGGCTTGCGTAAGGATTTAATTTTAGCCCTCAGTGTAACAGGACCAAAGCTATTGGTTAGTTTGTGATCAAAGTGTTTGTTTTCAGCTGAGAACAATTTATTATCAACTTGCAGAAGTTTTGAAGATAAAGAAGCTATATTTGTTCTGATTACCAATTATTTAATTGTCCAAAGTGACAGTGGGCACTTCACTGGGCAAGGAAGAGTTGTTCCTTGTTCATGCTTCAGTGCTGGTAACAGGGAGTTTGTAGGCTGGTTCACTGCCTGAGTTCCTTTGGAAGATATGATACTTATATGTCTGCAATTTAATTTTATTCTATGAACCACAGATTTTAGTTTGACCTAGAATTGTATTATAGCTTTGTTGAGTAAATATACTGACTGTGTATTTTAAGTTGAAGCAATTATGTCATCAACTTCACCATTAGGGAACTGTGGCAAGAGCCAGTTTTTCCTCCTTCTGCTCAGTGTCTTCACATGAGCATTCTCTATATAGGTCACTCACAATTACTCTTTTTCCTTTTGACATCTAACTAGTACAGATACCATTGTCACCTGTATTTCAGATCAAGGGTTGTACCAGTTATTCCTGCTTGGATATGTTCTGTAGTACAGTCAGATTTTTCATACAGCAGTGTAATTTCTTCTCATTTAACTCGGCTCTTAGAATTTATGATGATAACAATTGAAGGAGCTTCTGTTATAGCACCAGTTTTCACATATATTTAATGCATGTTGAATGTTTCCAGGCTGAGCTTTCCTTGTCTCTTTATTTTTTTAGCATTAAGGATTCATGTAAACGGTTCCACAATTAACATCCTGAAAAGAACAGACTGCCAATTCCAGTATGAAGAGAGAGGAGAAACGTACTTAAAGGTAACCTTACCATGTACAAGCATGAACACAGAGAAGAGGAATAGTAAAAAGTATTGTATAGCTGAGAGTACCCCTGAACTTTATTAACAGCTGGGGAACAAGGATTACTGATCAAATGATATCACAGTCTCTAGTGATTGAAGACACTTCTATAACAACAATTAAGGCAATGAAGAGCTCCCTAACTTGTACATTAAAGCAACATAAAGATGTGGATAATAAATGAAACATACCATTTGGAACAGAAGATTGTAGAGTGAAGTAATCTGATGAAAGGGAAGTGGAATCTAGTGTTAATTTGTTAATGCTCCAATATCTACCAATCCATTTATTTCAATCTTTTACACTTATCTGTCCTTGGGAGCTGATGGCAGGCACCACAGCTCACCTCTCCCACGACTTGTGTTTCAGGTCATGGAACAAGGAAGTGAGTGTACAGCTGCATCTCCCCCATTCTTCTTCTCACATCTAATTTGTAATCCCTTGCTGTCAGCATCAGTTACTGAAAATAAGCAAAGGCAATGGCAATGTGCAACAGAGTAATATTTAAGTAAATTAGCTACAGAAAATCGCATTCTAATCCCAAAACTGTGCTTTCTCTTCTTTGTCATATATATTTAGGGCAGAGGAACAGAAATTACCTACTGGTTGACGGGTACTGAGGACAAGAAATACAATCTCCCAACACCTCCTTCTGTGTAAGATCGTCTTTTTATGTGAAAAGGGAGGAGAAATTCCCATTCTTTGTGCTTTAGCCTTTATTGTTCCTTTTTCACACTTGTCCAGGATTTTTTTATACAATCGAATTTGCCTTCAGTTGTTAGAGGCTAAAAAGTGTATGTGTATATAAACATAAATATTCATTACATGGGACTATGTGTGTGCTGAAGGTTGGTTGTCTATATAAACATTGGGCAGGTTCTTTGCCTTGGAAAAGGTGTAAGACTTACAGGACAACTTGCTGATGTGATAAGAATAAGAGATGGACAGGAAAATGGAAAACATTAATATTCCCACAAGTTTAGTGGAACCTGTGTGTCACACTGCATGAAGAGGGTAACCACAATTGACTGTGCAGCTCTGTAATACCATGTTATGCCTGTGACCTCTTGTGGAAAAATTTGTAAGAGAAATGAAACTTGCAGGATTTCAAGCACTATTCTGCTACAAGAGGTAGACAAAGTTACTGTAGTACTGCACAGGAATAAAGCCTTTAAAAATCAAACAAGAGCTTACTTTCTAACATTTAGAGAAGTTGTCAGTAAAAAAAAAAAATGAGGTTGATGTTTTTGAGCAGCTATGCAAAACTGAAGTTAGGATACTTGTTGCATTTTTTTAGTGTCTATTTTGCATATGAGTACCTCTTTATTTCCTGCAAACTCACTAAATGTGGAAGTTTCTTTTCTCACTTTCTGCTCTGAATACATGTGTAGTAACTCTTCACTAAGTGGGAATTTGTTGCCTTCTCCTTTGAAATGACAGTATTTCATTACAAATTGAAGCAATGATATTGCAAATTGGTGTTTGCCAGATACATGGGGATCCCTTGTCCTGAAACGCATAAATAAATGTTACAGCTTGCTTCTACTGTAAGTTTTGAATCTTACACAGTGTGTCCTTTGCAGAAATAAAATTAGCTGTCCATTTATTCCCTAAGAGAAAACAGGAGATTAAGCAGACTATGAGGCTTTTCTTGGGGCATTTGCAAAATAGAAATAATCAAATTCGTAATCTGCTACAGAATCTCATGAGCTTTGTTATTTTTTAAATGGAAAGTACAAGTGGTAGGGCTGAGCAGGAAATATTGTCAAGACTACCCCATAATACATCTCTTTTGTAAACTCAGAACTCCTTTTTAAAAATTAGTATGCTCTGTTGAGACTACCAGAATTATTTTAATAGCAATCTTCTGGAATTCAGAGGTACTATTGAAAGTACCTCTTGAGTTGGTTCACAGTGATGCTTTTGTTTGCACTTCCTCATATGCTACTGCCCCTTAAAAATTTTCATGTGTGGGGTACTCCAGCAAAAGCCAAATACACTGAAGAAGTTTCTGAAACAGTGGCAACTTTATTGCTGAAGGCCACCTGAAATTGAATAGTTAAAGTTCTGGTACCAGTAATGGTGTTGAGAGCTAAAAACTATTCTGATTAGGATTGAATCTAATTTGTGTCTCCCTTTTTATGCAAGTTATCATGACTTTTTAAGGTCAATAATAACATAGCTACAGACCTCTTGAGCAAAGATACTGATGCATACATCTGGAATACTCATATGAAAATCCTGACTTCTCTTCCCAAATTCAGAACCAGAATTTGGTCCTGCCACATTTTTTATCAGGAGTGTGGGAATGTCATTAAGATAAACATGGGATTAGAAATATGTAAAAATCTCTGGCGACCTGAGGATCACTAAAAACACATGAATCACTGATTTTTTTTTTCTCTATCTTGTTGATTTTTAGGGAGAATCAGCAACGGTTACAAGATGACTTAGCAGAGATGATAACCAATAGTCTTCAGAAAAGGGAAAATGAAGGATCCAAGGCACAGGAGCTTTCACGGGTAGGTAGCTGCCGATCAGGTACCCTGGAATACCTGCAACTGGTCAGCACAGAGAATTTTACCACATATGTTTAAAACTGGATATCTAGTGTGACTCAAAAAGCTGCAGCAACTCTCTGGACAACTTCATGTGGAGACTGGAGGCTTATAGACTTAGAGGAAAAAGAAAACATCTTTTCAAGCATCCTTTTTACTGTCTGACCTGCTATCAGCAAATCAAACCTCTCTTCACTGTAACATTGAAATTGTTGGATGACTCTATTAGGACACATGCAGCATGATCTGAAGTAAATGAAAATGTTTGCACTTGAGTCTGGAAAATAGTGGGGGTTTTTGTTTTAGTTAGGTTTTTTTTAAACTGTGATAGCCTGTTCAATAATCCACTCTGAAAATATTCACAGCAAAATCTTAATTTGTCATGATCTTTAGATGTTGTATTTTTATTTGAAGAAAGATTTGGTGTAATATATTTCAAAATATAATTAAATATATGTGTAAAACCTGGATATATTGCTATTTTGTTTCTTCTGCTGTTTTCCTCTGTGTTTCACATGTTTTCTTTAATCAAGCTGACTTTGTTCAAGAGACAACACTTGTGTTATTTACATTAGGAACTTATTCCAGAAGTATGGTTTCTAAAGTTTATCTGAATCTCCTGGGCCTGAAAAATGAAATTGTCATTCTTGCAAAACAAGACACTTTCATATCTTTTCACCACTTCTGCTTCTGCCCACAAACCAGAAGTGAAACAGAAATTAAGGAAATAAAATCATCTGGACTTCTTAACCTCAGACCTTTTCAATTCAACTTTTGGATGCAGTTTTACAGTCAAGCAGGTTTTACTCAGATGACTCGTTCTTCAACTGACACCATGGCACTGATATTAATACACAGCTTTAAAAAGCAACAAAAGCACAGGGGCCACATGTTTAAGGAAATCAGCATTCACATGAAGAAATAACATCTAGTGAGTGAATAACATCTGCTTTTGCAAGGGCCTTTTGTGCACTGTTAGCTTTCAATGCAGAAGTACTTCCACCGTTGTCAAATATTGGTCAGTATCCAAACAATAAAATTGGTGCAAAATTATTATTTTATAGTTTTGAACAGTGTTTTTTCTCAACTAAATGACATAAAAATAATTAAAAGAGAGCAATCAAATTTCTTCTGTTTTTTCTTTTTAAGAGAAGCTGGCTTTGTAAAAACACACACACACACATATCAAAAGAACAATGTAGATGTAAACAGAGCACTGAAGTGCAAAGATTACTGGAAAAATTAAATAATGAGGTTCTGTTTGGCTTATACCCTTACCTAATAAATGTAAATTCCTACATTCAGGAACGTGATACAGACAAATAACACCTTTGTGTATAAAATAAGCTGTACGTACCCAACAGCCACAGCTTTCACATTAAATATAACCAATCTGAAACTCAAACTGGCATTAATACCATACCATCCTCTGTCTGTGTCCTAATGGAAACATTCATTTAGGTGAGGATAGAAAAAAACGAACAACCCTGATGTGCTCAAACTGGTATGTATTAAAATGCGTTTATGTACAATAAAAATATAAAGTCTGCTATTTTCTACCTCATGGTGCCAACCAACAAGCTTTGTCTCCAAGTCTGCGTTCTTGGGTGTGACTGCTGCACTGCTGGGCACTGCTGGGCTATTCTGGTTGCTGTACCTGAAGCACTCAGCAAGTGTAGTTGGTTGTAATGTAGTGACAAGTGCTGGACTCATCAAGCCTGAAGACGACCACTATGATCACCCCAATGAGAAATGATCTCTGATCTCTGAAGTGATGCAAGTGACCTAGCTTACCTTTTTAAAGAAGAGTTTTGTGGGTTCCACCCTTGACACCGCTGAGATACAAATTATTTTAGAGCACATGCCTGCTGACATTGATGGATAAAATTACTTTAAACAGTGCTTAGTTTTCAGCAGCCCTTCTCTTTACAGTGCTCTTCAGATAATAAATTCTGTATTGTTTTTTGAAGAGAAATGGTTACCTTAGCAATGAGTTGATGGACCAATCTTCTGGTAGATTTATTTTTCACATGGTTCTGTCCATGCATGGATCTGTTACCTACACATCACAATAAAATCAACTTTGAGTACTCTAAAAAAATCCTGGTTTCTAGTTTGGACGTCTGATTTTTCCTTCTCTCTAAGTGAAAAGTAGCCCATAACAAAGCAGCGGTAGGTATGGAAGGATCCCTGCAGCCTGGAGATACAGTGCTCTTACCCTGGGCTTGGGGCCAAGGCCTGAACTGGCTGGCATGTGACCTTGTTATATGAGGTTATTACAGGCACGGGTATCAAATTTAAACTGTCTCAAACAATTACTGAAACACGAAGTCCAAATAATGGCCCTTTTTGGATAGGCAGAAAATCCAACACTGGGTGAGACAAAAACACAGTGCCTCAAAATGGTCTGAATCACGAGTGCAAAGGAAAACCCCATAGAAAGTTATCTCTTATCTGTAAACCCTAGGAAAAGAGCTGCCCCTCATTTCTTCTGCTGGGACACACACAACAGTTGCTGTTCCCAACAGGGCTGAAAGTTGCCCTTCCTGTGATGCAAAACATGTAGTTTGAGAAGGCATCGCCAAACTCCTCTTCTGTCTTTTCGGAGGCCTTTCTTGCTAAACCTTCGCCGCTTTTAGGTTAATCACCCTCGAGGAGAACAGGCACCTGCCTGGGGACCCGCCTTCACTACCCTGCGAGGCCGGAGCTCGGCCAGGAGTGAGTCTCACACTTCAGCCAGGCCTTGGGGTCTCCAAAGCGGTATCGGGGCAGGAAAGATGCCGCCGCTCCCGGGGCACATCCCGGCGGCCGGCGCGGGGAGCAACCGTCCCCGGCAGGGCCACCTCCAGCACGGGCCGCCGCGGCCGGGGCGGGCACCGGAGGAGGCGGGGGCAGCGGCGAGACCTGCCCTGAACGAGGGAACTTCTTAAAGTCCCGCCGCCTCCCGGCGCTCGGAGGAGGCGCGGGG